ATTTCATTGCGGGCCTTTGCCAAGCAAAGCCGCTTGCCACTGAGATGGCGGAAGCTCAACAAGGGCCGTTTACATTGGAAATCACGAAGCTATCCATCGCTTGGGGGATCAGGATACGATGCCTTTGTGATTTCTCGTTGGCTACACTCCACCCTGCAACCGTTCACGGCTGTATACCCAGAAATTGCTACATTATTGTGGACATCAAACCAGGCTATAAGCTTGTTGTACGATGCTCATTTCTTTTTGACCCCCCAAGAACAAGACACGGTGAGAACCCTTGGAAGTTTGTTCTTGCGAACATACCTTTCGCTGGCCTCTCAGGCCTTGGGAAGGGGCCAATACCTATGGAGAGTCATTCCAAAGTTTCACCTACTCGCTCATGTGTTCCGGTGTGACCGTGTCTGCAATGTGGCCAAACATTCAACCTGGATGGATGAAGACTATCTCAAGAAGGTTGGAAAGACTCTCCGTCTAAGCCCCAAACCTACCATACAACATCGGTGTTTACAAAGGTGGATGCTAAGCATCCCAGGACACCTGGAACGATGCCGACAGAAGCACAACCGCTGACTGAAAAAAACTTGGAATCCAGACGGTCCAATGCGCATGGAGCGCATATGGCAGGAAGCGAACGACAAACAGTGACTGCAACCTATCTAACAGGTTTGTTCTCATGTTGAGCTATTCTATTTGTGAGTTGGTGTGCAAGTGTGCCTGCTTGGGCTGATGTCTTCCTAACAAAAACAACGTAAATTATGTTTTTGGGTCTGGTGGTTCCACTGAACTGTGGACATATTCTTGTGATGGTTTTTTGTTGTCTAGCGGTGGGGTTTCCGCCGGTTTCCGCACAGCTTTGAGCACACCATGTGTGCGCACACATCTCGAGACACGAAAACGCACTCGAAAACGACTTCGAAGTCTATATGTTTATATAAACTATAAAAAACATACACTGGCTCAAGATCAAATCATACTTGCCTTCAAGTATGATTTGCTATTTACATGTGCTTTTTGGTACAAAGCATGTGGCTTGCATAGTTCACATATAGTGGCACTGCTAAAAGCTGCGCACGCTTTGCGCTTAGAAGTTTCACTGCTTCAACTGCAGGTGTCAAGGCAACTATGTGCTGATGGTAGCTGAGCATATCATACATTTTCTCTTTTACCCATCAAGCATGTCACGCGTGAAAATCGTGAAAACCACCAAAAGGCCGTGAAAAAACCATTTGTACATCAAAAATTTGAAACAAGGTCCTGAGCGGTATGACCTTGTTTTAAGTGATCGAATGGTTCCCCAGGTTAGTCAAGTCATGTCCGAGTTCGAGGTCGAACGCTTCACCGGCTCGTAAACCATGTCGTTTCGAACGGCTCGAAAAACGATTCGGGTTGTAAACCTCTGCGACCAGCTTAGCTTGTTTCTTTCCTGTGGAAGGTCCCAGGAGTTTGGCCAAACGGTGCACGAATTTACAATTCGGAGTTTTTGAATAGGCTACTGTACAGAGCAGCTGGTCAAAGGGATTAGGTCCCTCTGGCTCCTGTAGGCAAGTCATAAGGTTCTGCCACATTTGGTGGGCTTCTGCTAGGGCACCCTGTCCCTGTCGCAGCAAGCGCTTCAACTTCCTACCGCTCAGCTGACTCTCCTCGACCTTGATCATCCCTGGTAGGGACCGTCCTCCCAAATTCCCCCCGACTGAAGAGCTCCCGACTGCTGCAGGCGCGGGCCATTGCCGGAGTGAGATTGTTCATGTCCTCCTGGTAGATCGGGTAGCGAGGCGGAGGGTATCCCTCTTGGTACTGAGCTCCCGGATGTTGGCGAGTCAGTCGAGTGATGTAGAGGGACTTTTGGTCCTTCTGTTCCTGGCGCTTCTGTGCCTTTTCCATTCCCAGAGGGGTTGGCTCGTCCACTAGGGTCCGGTTGCAGTCCAGACACTTCTCCATGATCTTGAAGGCATTGGTTCCCGCTCGGCTGATGTTCCGATGCGGGCAGCGTCGGGGTAGTGGTGGTACCTGCGGTGTGGTGGACGACGATGGGGCTCCCCTCCTCATAGGTTGTGGTGAAGGCTCCTCCAGGTGATCGAGATCCGGACGGAGTGGTTGCCGATTGCACCACTGGAAGGTGGAGCACTGTCCTTGTCGATCCATCGGGCACCTCCAGAAGAGACGGCGGTTGTTCTTCGCCGTGTGACTCAGGAATAGTCGGCATAGGCGTCCGTGACCGCATTTGGGCGGCGGTCCAACGATCTCCTTCATCTCCTCGAGCAGCTGAGTCACATCTCCCTGGGAGGACCCGGGACTGGCTTGAAGGAGCTCTGAATTCAAGCTCATTCTCTCCCATGAGGCTTCGCTGGTGGTCCTGGTCGGAGTTCGGGGCGCAGGTGCTCGTTCTTCTTCCGGATCGGGTAATCGATGGCGAGGAGGATGTAGGTCGCGGGCCTCCGTCGGCCGCTTCATCAGGTTCTCGAGCAACACGTTGAGCCCTTGCGTGACATAGAGCAACTTCCGAAGTAGGCGGTTCCATCCCCAGAGAGAGGGAAAGTGGGCCTCCTCTCGTGGTCCTCGAGGTCGCTTCAGCTCCGGCATGGCTTCCATGAGAGGGGGATTGCTTCGGAGGTTCACGCTCGTTGTCAGGGGCTCCGGTTTTGGTCTGTGAAAAACTGTCTGCGGCGGGATCATGTGATTGTTCCGTCTTGAGTACCTCAAATTCTTGGTTGTTGCCGCAGTTGACCTCTTTACTGAGAGATTCCAATTGACCGGGGGTGAACTCACACAACGGAATCCGAAGGGCACCGGTAGGTCCTAGGTGACATTTAACCGTAAACCCTTGCTTCCTGAACCGCACCCGGAGTCCTGTCTCATTATCGAGGTAGATCACCGCCCTACACGAGATGAGGAAGGGCAGGCTGATCAAGAAGGGGGCGGCCACACTCTCGGGGTTGTCGAAGACGGCCGGCATGAAGTATGAGCCCTTCTGTCCAATGCTTGTCGGAACTGCCGCGACGACTTGGGTGCTCGAGATCCCATGGACGCTCTTGAAACGGTGGGTCTGATCCTTGGTCCTGACTGGGAGTCCAGGAGGGAGACGTTGAGCGAGTCGTTCAAGGGTCTGCCGGCCCACTACCATTCGTTGGCAACCGGTGTCGATGGTTGCGCAACATTCATCGGGATACGGGTTCGATCGGACGGGTTCGGAAACAAGTTTCGGACTTTCCCCATACATAACCCCAAAAATATCGTGATCACTACTGGAGCCACCTTCCCAAGGGTCACCCTGGAGTTCGGCCATATATGCACTCTCGACGTGAGGTGCCATCAGGCGTCGATCACTAGATCCCGGGCCGCCATGACCCGGGACATCTGCGGAGATTTCATCGCTCAGGCGTTCACCTCCAGGGAGAAAAGCACCCTCACCCGGGTGCTCCTCAAGGTGGCCGCAGAAGATGGCCTCTTCCAACACATGGGCCTCCTTCGGGGCTCCACGATCTCGGTCCTTGTCAGGGCATTCCTTGTGCCAGTGACCGGGTTTCCGACAGATGGCGCACTTGGTGACCTTCTTCAACTCCTCCACGGTCATGCGGTAGTTCCCTTCCTTGAAGGGAGCATTGTGCCCCACCATCGTGAAGCTCTTGGTCTTGCCCTTGAAGGTGTTGGAATACCCTCTCGACAGCTCCTTCGCCTTCTTGGCCTTGAGGGTCTGCATGTAGGTCTTCTTCTTCTGCTGCAAGATGGTGCTCAGCACCTCCGCGGCCTCGTGTTCTTCGAGAACACTTCCATCACCGTCTTCTCCATCGTGTCCTTCTTCGTCTTCACCTTGGAGGTCTTGAAGCGCCTCCTCCACGGCATAGATCTCGTCATCCTCCGGGTCATTGGGCTCGGCATTGATGTAGTGGGCAGCAGCGGAGGATGTCATCCGAGAACTCGTGGTCATAGTTCCTTTCTTTTCCTTTTCAATCCCGACCTGCGAGGCCTGGAGCTTCGTCTCGTGCTTGCGGATCCATTCCCGGATGTCTCCAGGTTTGATGGACCCTCGAGAGTAGTTGAGGAGCGACTTGATGTCGGCATCGGAGAGCACCAAGGCGTTGATGAGCAAGAAACCAACGTACCGTTCGGGAAGAACGACGGAGTGCTCAGTCACCTTCCTCATTGCCACGTCCCAGCGGCTGAAGAAGGCTCGAAAGTGCTCATCCTTGCCTCGGCGAAGATGGAAGGTGATCTTCGCCAAGGCGGCCAACAGGTCCTCCTCGCGGTCCTCACCGAAGTTCTCGGGGAGCTCCATGAGGGCGATCAACTCATCGCCATTGCCATCGCTGGTCATCCACGCCCGATCCCGGGCGAGATATTTCATGGTCTCGAAGGGGGTCTTCGTCAACTTCTGAAGGAGTAGCGGCCCTCGTGCACGGGGACGGGCCTTGGTGGTAGCAAGCCACAACCTGGCCTTGATGGCATAGTCCTGAAAGGCCAAGGATTCGCCATCCCACTCTGGCGGTGGCCCATTGCTTCCAAAGCTGCTACCACCGTCGCCCAAGTCACTCTCGGCACTCCTGGTCGAGCTGCCATGGCGCCGCCGGTGTTGGCGGTGTGGATACCGGGCTCGAAGAAATGCCCGGAACTCATCACTGTCAAAGGCCTCTTCGGCCAGTTCCTCTTCATCCAAGTCACCAGGGCGTGGTAGCCCTTTGTCAAACTCATGGCCTTCCGGCCTCGACGAACCATCGGCTGCTGTCGCAGCCGCAACCGGGGGCATGGCTCAAAGCGAACCACCAACCAGGGACAACCCCAAAACACCCCAAACAAAACCGACCAACCGAGCCAGGTCCAAGGGCCGAACCTGGCTCCGCTACCACTGTGGGCAGCAAGACCTTTTCACATGTGCATTGTCCCCTGCACATAGGGCCGCGTCGGGCCACCTCGAGAGTTAAACATTTCGGAATCGTGATTTCATCCAAAGCGACATGCTATTCACAGTATCATTGAGGTTGTGACCACAAAACCAGCCTAAGGCATGGAGATTTGCCGGCACAGCACCGGGCTTTCAGGGGCGTTTCAGAGGCACCGATGGCCAGAAGGCCGATGGCCAATCCCAGCAATGTGTACCTGGACCTTGCAGGACCCATTGATACCTATCTCGAAGTCACGAGCCAAAGACTGATGCTGACCCAAGGTTCCAACGTGCGATCTTCACTCGCACCACGTCTGGGCCCCGCTCATCCCCCGCTCGTCCCCCGCTCGTTTGCAGGCGATGTCTTCGGGCCGAAGCACTTCGAAGGCCTCCGGGCAGCCTTGACGCGCCACGGCGAGCTGCGGAAGGGCTATGTCTGTGCGCAGAAGGCGCCTTCGGTTCGGCGGAGGGGAGAACCTGGTCGAGCCGAAGGGATTCCGTCGGACCGTGAAGTCTGATGCACTCGCAAACATGGGACATGCACCACCTGGATGTTCGCTTAGAATCGCACCATGGACTGATCTAGGATGATCTAGGTATAATCATTGGATGGAGACTCGCCACTGCAGATCCCCTCCTGTTTTTAGTCCTTGCCTGTGTGTCCAAGATCCACCGGAATTTTGGCACATCGCCTGCCGACCCAGGGAACTCGCTGGACTCCGCGAGACCTCCAGGGCTTGGAACTCATCTCTGTGCCACGTCGTGCGGGCGGCAAGGTGCGCCGGGGTCAAGTTGGTGTTTGGGTTTTTCTGGACCACATGCAACGCCAATCAAGATTTGGGAAGGACAGATGTGGCTATGGCAAGACACTTAAGGCATGGATCAACCACCAAAACCCACACCCCATCCATACCCTGATCCAAAGGGTGTGAATCAACATCACTCAGTTGATCCACACCCTTTGACCTTGGATCAAATTCAGGCTTGGGTTGGTGAAGGGCTCTGCAGTGCAGAATGAAATTGCTGGACTCCACTAACTTCACACTTGGGTGGCAAGAGGCTCCTCCAGATACCGAGCTCTACTCTGCTCCCCAAATGGACAGAGTGGAAGTCGTGTCATTCTGCAAGGCTTTGGACCAGTAGAGGCTGTCTGGCCAACATCCTAGCAAACCCTGTGAATGAAGTTTCTGGCCTCCACTTTGTTCATTTTGGGTAAGACGGACTTGTAGCTACTATGAAGCCTGGTTAGGGCCTTGCAGAATGAAGTTCTGGCCTCCACTTTGTCCAATTTACTGTAGGTGCTAAGGGGCTCTGTAAGACAAATCTCAAGTGAGATTTCTGGGCTCCACTCCACTATCCTCATTTCAAATGCCCTTTCCACGGCAAGCAGCTTCCACTAAGTCATTGTGGCCCCCTATTGTGCCAGAATGGGCGGTGCAGGAGCCCACCAATAGAGCAGTAGGGCAATTGGCTCGGCCTCAGGGTGGACAAGAAGTTCACTACCTGACTGTTAAACGCCACGCCGTTCGGGTCAATTCAGCCTTGGGCTGTTGCAGCACTTGGTTCATTTTGGGTATTGGCGTCAAGCCTCAAAAAGTGGAGTTACTGGATGTGTGGACTTGGATGTCAAGTGTAAAAGAAGAGGAACACAGTGTAGTGGACATGATTATATAACTTGAATGTGGAAGTAGTGCGGGAACCACCAATCTCGCTTTTCAGGAATCTCATCCGTCAATTTGCTTTCGTCACGTCGAGTATTGAAAGGTCATAGACTTCTCAGACTGGAACTACAACCAGTCGACTACTCTACGTTTATAATTACGTACTTGTAGTAACTCCGGAAACCCCGGGTTTGAGCTCGAATGCCCACGACCGATAAGACCGATAAGCCGCTCCCGAAGAGTGCGTCCCCGCTTCTGTTGATCCGAAACACCGCTCCCCATGTCACCTGAGAGGATCCCAATGACATTGCCATTAGCCTGGAAGCTGCCCGGCTGGTCTTTCAGGAGCGCCGGCTTCTTTCGAACGTGTGTTTTTGATGTGAGCTTGACTCCAGAAGTGCTCGACATGGTCTATGGGAATGCTCCATGCCAGGTGAGTTATGCAGAATATGTTCGGGTCTATTTGGTGGTGGCCTGCCGGCAACCACAACGTTATTTTTGTTTTGTGTGTGTTCATCGTTTGCACGGTAAGTGGTTTGTTTGACAGGAAACGCACCACCAAGCGAATCTGGAGACCGCTTTGCAGAGAGCAACCTAGATATATATAAATATATGTATAATACATTATAATATATTGTATACACAGACACATATAGATATTATATAGGGATTTCCGCATTGGAAGGTGGTGTGTGTGTGGTGTCCGACAGCATGGTACACTGTCATCCTGGTCTATAGGTTCAAAAAGTACATGGTTGGCTCCTATGTCGCACCGAAGATGGTATATTCTCAAAACTCAGGAGCTGGCAGCAAATCCCCTTGATTTAGTGTCCTGAATCTCGAACAGCCATGTGGTGTGCAGGAGAATGTGGATGCCATTGCGCTTGCTGCCGCAGATTTGGACTTTTTGTACTTGGTGGAACCCCGGCGCCCCGCAAATCGTTTTGTCAACACCATGACTTGAGGTTCGTTTGACTTTTCTTTTAATCTACCCAATGACCCAGTGATTTGCTCAAAACTTCAAGCGGTGGTTTCACTAGTAAAAATAAGGCAGACAGATGTGTATCATGAAGAAGGACTGATGAAATGATACGTGTGATTCCATCATGCGTGGCGTCGGTAAAAGTCAAACTCCGGGCTACAGGGGCTAAACGTGGTAATTACGGGTCCCACATCATCATGTTTTCAAGCACCAGTGCCACCAGCACAGCGAGGGGATTTGGGAACCCTCATGTGGGACGGCTGGTTATGTGTTCGTGATGATGCTCTTGTAGTTTTCTCCATGATGCCCAGTCTTCAGACTCGATTTGCGAACTGACACTCCCATATCTTCAAAGCATACAGGCATGCCCTTGAGTCGAATTCCAGCAGCCAAGATCACCCTAACCGATCTAACCGATAATATGTATATACTGATATATTGTAATATACATTCTTGGAACGCGGCTTTCTGGGAAATTTCTGTGTTCTTTGCAGAGCGGCTTTGTTTGCACCAAACCGTGTCGCGTTTGCTCGACCATTGAACCACCAGGTTTCTTGCGGCCCTTGCATCGAACGCCTCGCGGAACACGCCGAGGAAGTCTTGCAACGCCACGGGGCACGGGTTCTGGTCCTCTTGCCGCGCCAATGCAACGCGGGCGTTGCACGGGCCTTTCGAGAGACGGCAGAGGTGAAGTCGGGCGAATGAAGGAGTGAATGGAGTGAATGATGTGTGAAGTATAGATGGGTGAGTTGTGTAGCGAAAAAAGAACCAGGAAGGACAGGTCAAACCTCTCCTTCCGACCGCTTTCGTTGAAGGACAGACCCAAAGCCATCGGGTCAGGCCGCCCATACTCGTCCTGATGGACCGGACCTGACGCAGCGGAGGACATCCGGGGATGATGTGAGAGAAAGACCTGGCTGCATATGAACCAGGCGGCCAGGTCGTTTTTTCCGGTGTAGATCCAGATGCGGCAGGTGGAATGGTTCTCTTTTGCAGAAGAAGCTGAACGACAGCCAAAGAAGAAGATGCTGCTGCAGCTCTTCTTGTGGAGTGGAAACATTTGGCTGAATCCCCTCTAACCAGTTCAACCAACCTACCGGTCCTTTTTGGGTCCCAACTTCCTTGCCATCCACCCTGGCGGCCCTGGCTTCCGGTCAAAAGGCATTCGTTATCAATTACAAGGAAGGATGGCCAACCCCCCAGGGTGAAGATTCCATCCAAATGTATGTTGGACTTGGCCCCCTTTTGGTTGGAGGTCCACCTGTTTGTGAAGCACAGTCAAATCGACTTTGTTATGTGAGTGATTTGGCCTCCAGCTTGTAAGAAGCACATCATCTTCCAACTGCATGATGTAATTCTTCCTGTTGCAGCAGAACGTATAACATGGGAAAGGGGATCTTGAAGATACTGTTTCACACTCCAACGCCTTCGGCGGGTGAAGGTGAACCTGTGAACCTGTGAACGGTCAGTTTGCCAATCCATCAGGTCCTGTAGCAAGCAAGATGACCTGGCTTGGAAGGGTTCACAGTAGGAGGGCTGAGAGCTTTGGTTTGCGGTTTGCACACTCATCGCCGCCAGAGGCCGCCATAGAAGTCGTTGATCCAAACCGATGTTCGGCACCGTTCCAAGGTCGTCCAAGCGCTGCAGCAGTGTCTTTGAAGACCTGAAAGCTGAAGACTTCGACCATGGCGAGGCTGTAGGGTGTTGGATGTTTTTTTTTAAATCACCTGGGTGGCTCAGGTTAGGTATCAAGTGGCGGCGATATGCTGCAACCAGGGATGCAAGGGTTTACCGGTTACCCGGTTAACCTATAGTTGGTCTTTTCCGGGGCTTGATTTTCACGAAGTTTCTCTCAGACCGTGGTTGCTAGGTGCGTGCTGCGACTCACGCAATCCGTGGCGGTCCAGTGGTCCAATCCCGAAGTAACAACTCAGCAAACCACAGGTCTTCATTCCCATGGCGGATCTGCCCTTTGCGGTTGATGCTCTTTTCACCTGCCATTCCCCGTTCGCCCCATACAGGAAGCCATATCTTCACCGGAGTATCTCGGGAAATGACTTCGATCCACAACAAGGAAAAACACTTGCTGCATCTGACGCTTAACGCGCGTGACTTCCTACATCGAAGATGTCCCTCAAGGCAATAAGGCTAACTGTTGTCGCCAGAAAGGTTGCCAACATCAAACGCATTCTGGAGATTGGGGGTTCAACCTCTAGAGCATGATGTGGAAGGGCAGGCGTTTCGGGAGCTTGAAGCTCAACAGCGTGATGTTGCTGGATGTGGACTCACCCAGAAGATGCTTTCGACCGCTTCTTACCAGTATGTCTTAGACTCCGGCCCTAGCTTTAAGCTGCTTTGCCAAGATGAAGGGCCCTCCCGTGCCACCCCGTGATGGCTCGTTTGTGTTCTCCCTTTTTTCTCCTCATCCGTGATGCCTTTCTTAAAGGCCATTGCATATGAACCCTCTTCAGTGTTTGATAGTATTTATTCCTCACCATCCTTTTTAGTACTGTTGGTACTTATATACTTGGTTCTTCCTACTTATTTTGAAGGAACACGGCAAACCAGAGGTCGGCCTGGAGATGATGGACCAGCTGCGAGCCATGCTCTTGGACTGGGGATATTTGGAAGATCAGGTGCGGGTGCTCGATGGAACGAATCAGAAGAGTGGCAGTGAAAACAAAGTGGGGGTGAAAAGCTCGACCACTGCACCACAGCAAACCTCTGAGTGGGACCCCATGAAACAGCTTGGTAGCGAGTTGTTTTAGGCTATGAATCAACGCCTAAAAGGGCCGATGTCTGAAAACTTCTATCGCCTCCAGTGCCACAGTTGATGAGTGACACAGACATACCAAGTCGACGGCCCAAAACTATAACACCTCACCCCTTTTGGAGATCTTGTGCCATGTGGATCATCATCCGCAGAGTTATCGGAGAGAAGAACCACCGAAACCATCCTGTCCTCCTCCCCTCGCCTCCCCTCTCCCCTCTCCTTCGCCAGACACAAGCGCTCTTGCCGGCGGTGGCGAAGTTTGCGGTCTTACACGAACTCGAGGATTTCCCTTTGTGGCCCAAGAGCTTGGCTTATACCCAGCTGGCGAAGGTGGGAACGCTTCGGTTTTTTTCGCTGAACCCCCTCGTCTTTCGGATGTTGTTTTCTTCAGGCCGACACCGGTTCCGTTTCTTTAGGCTTGCCGTTTTCCATACGGCCGGCGCCAGCCACACGGCAGAGCCACACGAGAACGCACGAATAACACGGTCGCCTCGAGGTCATAGCAGGTGAAGACCTTTTGTTCTCCACTATTTCTCCGTTGCTTTTTTGGGGCTTTTGGCCGAGGTCATCTCCAAGCATGGCGTTTGGAAGCGGAATGACCATCGCCTGATTTTCGTGCTTCCCTGTGGCCCAGCCACTGCCAGCAAGAAGTGGTTGGAGGCCACACAGAAAGATGGGAGTGGCTGGTGCTGGATGCTGAAGGGATTCCATGTGGGTGGGGTCAAAACTAGACCCCAAACCATGCTTTCCCTTTTCCGTACCACGCCCAGCCTCCGATCCTTCGTCGGACGACACTTCGCGCACGTGGTCGGGAGCCAGCATCATGCGACGTAGTGCGACGGTGTTGGTAGAGCAAGCAGAGACATGGAGTTCGATTTACCATCTTTCCATTCAGCCCGTTTTAGATCTGCTAATTGAAATTGTGCACTAACAGATACCGCGTGAAACAAGCGCTAGAATTATTGAGCTACATACACTATCACTATCACAACATTAGTTCGTTTCCTTGGCACAGCCAGAAGCCAACTCCTTCCCCCCCCCCGCCATGTAAGGGCCATAATCTATTTTTTGGGGCCGGTATACGCCTGGACCCGTACCGCGCGGTCCACCGTCGACCCGTCCCGTCTGGCCGTCTGACTGGTTGAGGATGATTCTCTTGGAGAAAAAAATCTGCTTCCAAGGGGTCACCCGGGACAACCCTACACTTATAGGTCTCCAGATGCACCCAGAGAGGAAGTGCTAGGTACACTCCGAGTCACTCACATGGACGGGGAGCAAACACCCCGAACTTCGTAGAGCTGTTCTTCCAGGAGCCGAACTGCGTGCCATCGTCTAAACCATGTCAATGTGTTCGTCCGAGTGTACCTTCTTCAACTTTCAGGTGGGTCTCTTAATATTGGAAGCTTTTTTCAGCGGTCGGTTTGATCATAGACCCCAGAAATAACCAAGTTTTTCCCCAAACAGTTTACTGTTAGGGGTTCTCAATGCTTTAAAGAATGGTCGCCTTGGTGCTGGATGGTCTGGTCGGGTTTCCGGCTGGCTTGTCTCCCACTTCCTTTCATATGTCTCCCACTTCTTTTCATTTGTCTCCCTGGGTGCTTGTGGTCGGGTTTGCGGCTGGCTTGTCTCCCACGTGCATTCATTTGTCTCCCACTTCCTTTCATTTGCCTCCCAATTCTTTTCATTTGTCTCTCAGGCCACTTCCTTTCATTTGTCTCCCACTTCTTTTCATTGTCTCCCAGGCTGGGTGCTTGTGGTCGGGTTCCGGGCCGGCTTGTCTCCCACTTCCTTTCATTTGTCTCCCACTTCTTTTCATTTGTCTCCCAGGCTGGGTGCTTGTGGTCGGGTTCGCGGCTGGCTTGTCTCCCACTTCCTTTCATTTGCCTCCCAGGCTCGGTAGGCTGGGTGCTTGTGGTCGGGTTCACTTCCTTTCAATTGTCTCCCAGGCTCGGCGCTTGTGGTCGGGTTCCCGGCCAGCTTGTCTCCCACTTCCTTTCATTTGTCTCCCACTTCTTTTCTGCTTGTGGTCGGGTTCCCGGCCGGCTTGTCTCCCACTTCCTCTTATTTGTCTCCCACTTCTTTTCATTTGTCACCCACTTCTTTTCATTTGTCTCCCAGGCTGGGTGCTTGTGGTCGGGTTCCCGGCCCGCTTGTCTCCCACTTGCTTTCATTTGTCTCCCGGTTCTTTTCATTTATCTCCCAGAAACGCTTCATTTGTCTCCCAGGTCCGTCATGCCATGTAGCATTTCTATTCATTTGTCTTTGTCACCGCTAATTTCCGCCCTTTTCCGCTGGCCATGCAGCATTTCTATTCATTTGTCCCCCAGGCTTGTCACTGGTGGTGTCCGCCCTTTTCCGCTGTTTCTATTCATTTGTCTCCCAGGTCTGTCACTGTAGGTGTCCGCCCTTTTCCGTTGGCCATGTAGCATTTCTATTCATTTGTCTCCCAGGTCTGTCACTGCCAGTGTTTTGTCTCCCAGGTCTGTCACTGCTGGTGTCCGCCCTTTTCGTCGGCCATGCAGCATTTCTATTCATTAGTCTCCCAGGTCTGTCACTGTTGGTATCCGCCCTTTTCCGCTGGGCGTGCAGCATTTCTATTAATTTGTTTCCCGGGTCTGTCACTGGTGCTGCCGCCCTTTTCCGCTGGCCATGTAGCATTTCTATTCATTTGTCTCCCATGTGACTTCTTTCTTTTTGTCTTTCAGGTTTGGTGCCTGCACTGCTGTTTTCTGCCCTGTCCGCTGGAACAGGTTCGCCTGTGAAAGGTTCTTGCTCCTTTGCAAGGGGTGCGTGACTGTCTCCGGGATTGCATTCCTGCCACACTGTGTAACTCTCTCAGCTTTGTTTTCCTTCTCGGGCAACCGTTGGATGAATGACCGGATTGGATTTCGGCGGCGTGGCAGCGATCTCTCTATTCAGTTGGGGCGGAGGGCATATGTCAGGCACCAAAAATCAATTTCATGTCACATCCTTCGCTCCTCATGCTTTTGTTTCTTGTCCTCACGTGGTCAGCTCCCCGCTGACTGAGCAGCATGACCAGCATCATGTTCGCGCTTGAAGAATAATTCCCCAAAAGGTTTACTGTTAGGGCTTCTCACTTCTTTCTTAAGATGTGTCCCCCCGCTCTGTACTGCTGTGTCCGTCTCTGCCTTGCAATCCTTTACATTTATCTCCCAGCTCTGGACGTCGCAAGCTCTAGTTTCGATTTTGAAAAACACAAACTGTTTGGGGTCTACGGTGGTGTAATTTTAGACTTCAATTGAATGAACTCGACACCCAGACATGACCGAAGCATCACAGGGTCCGAGTTACCGAGTCCTCGTCCTCGTACATCCTCGTACTGAGTAGGCCAGAGTAGGCCAATGGGCGTCCGGTTGACGCATGAGACCTCGGACATGTCCAAAACCATCGGTTGACTCGGACATGTCCTGGGTCTTCCACTTCTTCCCACGCTCGGTCTTCAGAACCTTCGTGTCCACCGGGCCTACCGGCACAGCGGCGGAGCTGCGGAGTGTGGCCCGGTTCGAGGCCTGTGGCTCCTCGAAAGCCGTCAGCTACGTGCGGGCGGGGGGCGCCTTCCTGCTGCGCGAGTCGGAGGCGGTGGCGCTGGAGGCGGGGAGTGGGAGGAATCGGCCACCGTCCTTGGCTCATCGTGTTTCTCTCTTTCATCGTCTTGGGTGGAGTGTTCAAAAGCAACGTCAGAAGGTCTCTGGGCCCCTAGAGACCGTGCTTGTTCGGCGGATTTTGGTTCAAACAACCATGCAGCGTGTCGCTGAGACCAGCCGGTCGGTTTCGATCTGGTCTTGGAGGGTCCCATATTCCACAGTGAAGCTGATGTCTTGAAGAGGTCCTGCAGAGGCTCGGGTACTATGGCGACATGAATGAGGAGTGGCCGGCCTGCAAAGGTGTCGCAAACTTCTTCTTGTGTAAGATATTGGAGTCTTAGTTGCCCTCCGCAAGCTAGTTTGAGCTACCTTAATCGCTGTTGGCGATCCAACGGCACACTTGCAATTTTCGAGTTTCTTTTCAGGGCATTTTGCCATCGGTCTCTCACAGCGTCGGGGGGGTTCTGTGGGGTGGGGCTGGGAGGGGGCAGTTTCTATAAATGAATTAAGTAGGGTTTAATTCGTATTCATCAGGTCATCCTTAGTTATACAATTCAAATTTTCCAGAACATCCAGATCATTTTTGATTTGTATTGCGCACCAAAACCAGGGTCTTGGAGGCAAATAATAGTCAGGATCCATATTTGTTGTAAAGTTCAGCACCAGAAGTAGTAACAAACTACAGAAAAAGGCTCAAGACAACAATGCAGCAGATTGTTTTTCTGTCATAGTCACAGAAACTCAATGAAAGCAGAATGAACACAAAATCCAAGCACATGAAATGCACTTCAGAAGTGACTTTTATTGCGGCTACCCCAAAGGCCCCAAAGACCTTCCCCCCCAAAAGAACAGAATTGGAGAGGTTACCCCCCTTATTATAACGAATTTCACATTAAAGAAGATTTGTTTCTAAGCTGAACAGTTCTCGGAAGACATCATCTCAGTAACGAGATGCAGAACTTATTCACGAATTTGGACCGTTCAAATTGTGGAGCCCTGCCTTGACCAGAACGACTTGCTCTGGTGGAAGATGCCACACTGCTGTCTTTTCAGTGCTTTTCACTGCAGGATCTTCCTCTGCAGGAACAGCGGAAAAGCTCAAACACAAAGTGCTGGCCTCTGCGTGCCATCAACTTTTGCACAAAGAAACACGGCCTACTACGGGTCCTGGCTGACGTCCAAGACCAGAGGAAAGAGTCACCGATGTGCGCTAGTAGCCATCCGAGTGTCAGGCAGCCCAGTCACCCCTCTTCGGATGAAGGGACTCAAACCCATTGGCCAGGGGGGCCCATTTGGCTCAACACATACTTTAACTTTAACTTGCTTCGCGCAACATATTCAACACAGCTTTGGGACCTCTTTGCGACCACGTATTGCAACCTCGCACCAGGGCTGAAAACCATGCTGTTCCTTTTCCGATTTCAGATCCAAACATCCGGCAAATATTTTGATGGGCATAAGCAGTGCTTGAAAAACCACTCGTTCACATCTCCTCCGTCCGGGTTCTCGTGTGGAGCCTGCATTTCTGTGTCCAGACATCCACTGCACTGCAGTAGAGCTCCTCATCTTTTTGTTTGGGCAAGACGAGGAAACACAGGGTAGGGTAGTTCATCATCTCGGCGTCGCGAGGACCTCAGTGAAGCCATTGACATCTTTGCCAGCATGAAGCTTCTCCCGCAATTAGCCTGCGCCCCAATTCGACCATGTCAGCGTTCTTTTGAGGGATGTCGGTTTTTCGGAGTCGGTGGTCTCAATGACAGGTTTGGGAGTCTTCGTCCCAACGCTAGCATCATTCGCATGTGGCTCACGGATGCAGTGTTGCGGGCTCCAGGATCGTTTTCGCCTCCCCGCAGGGGGCTGTTGACTCCCTGTGGCACGTTGAGTCCTGCATGCCGTCATGGGAAAGACACCCACTGCGGTACAGGGTATAACAAGAAGCTACGAACGTAACAAAGGGCATCGCTACTAGGAACAAGGAAGCTACGAACGTAGCTCCGGGCATCGCTAGTAGCAAGAAACTACTAGTAACAAGTAATCTTCAGATACTCACATGACCAGGCCACTTGGTCCCACCGAGGAAATCCAATGACCAGGCCCTTCAAGTCTCCGGGCTCTCCATCAAGCCCCACTTTTCAGTGGGGAACCCCGGCCTGTCGGACCGAGCACGAGAAAACAGAGATCTCGGCGCAGGAAGAGATCGAACCACGAGTGGTGTTGCGTAGTTTGGGTTTCCCTGCAGGACCTCGAACTAGGCGATATGACCACCCAAGATTCATGGTGCAGCCATCCCACTTGTGCCATCACGTCTATTGGTTTTGGCAACATGACTTGCCTCCCAAACTTTGTGGTTTCGGTCATCGATTGTGCCGAAAGTGACCTATAGTTCCTCCAAAAAAAGCCACAGGCGCTGTGTCTTTGCTGCGAAACACGCGGCCACCGCTTGCTTGCGCGCCACAGGGCGAGAGGTGTGGCACACAGCGCTGTGGAAGCATGACTGCGCTGCAACAGCGCTGTCTTCCATGGCAGCTCACCAGGTCATGTGGACGCGACAGAGCATGCTGTCGCGATGCAAGCGTGGCAACCTCATGGAATGACCACATGGAATAAGCACGGCACCATGCCCGCGTGACAGAATGACATTTCAGCACTACGCCACGACAACATCAGAGTAACAGCATGTCAGCATATCTGCTTCCTCCGGAACCTCCTGACCCCGGCAACCTCCATACCCTGCTCGGGAACCTGCTCCAGAATCAGCTCTGGAACCACCTCTGGAACTTGCTCCGGAAGCTGTGCTCCGGAAGCTGTGCTCCGGAAGCTGTGCTCCAGAACTTGGTCTGGAATCTGCTCCGATCTGCTAGGAACTTCTGGGGACCCCCCTAAGCTTCGCTGTTGGCATCAACACATCTTTCGCACACCTGGGATCACACATCTTGGCCTTGGACATCAAGAACAATGGCTTGACTTGCCCCAGGTTCCATCCATGAAGGCTCCATCCCTTTGGCTTTTCGGTGTTGGATCCGTTCCCGACCGGTCCGTGGGGGCCGTCCGTTGGAATTCGGTGGGGACCCTGATGAACGACGTCCTCAACGTGGCTTTTTCTCGGATTCGTCGGGCGGCCCATGAGGTGCACCGGAAGATGGCCTTGCTGCACGCAGCCTTGGTCTCTCCTCGAGTGCACGGCGAATGGCACATTGCACCCGGCGACGGTGGGGTGTGGGAGTGGGAGGTGTGTGTGGGAGGTGTAGCAGGTGTGGTGGGTTGGAACTGGCAAAGACCGAGGTTGTTTTGGCATGTTTTTGCACTTGTGTCACCAGGTTTTTGTTTAGAAGTTAATATGCAATTAGATGCCACATTTGCTTGTCGTGCCAGTTACTTGCCAGACGATGCCAGGTTCGATTTCATGTAGCTGCTCAGTTGTGCACATGGTCCTAGTGGTATTTGTTTTTTACGTGTATACTTAGTTAAGACACTTCTGTATTCCGTGGTTTTGAACAGTCAAAAATAGACCAGTAGCCAAGTTCAAGAGTTGGCGCGGACAGTAGCTAAGTGCAGAGCTAGCTAAGTTCACAAGTTAGCGTAGACAGTAGCTTGGCTAAGTGAAGTAGCGTAGACAATACCTAAGTGAAGAATTGGAAAGTGTGTAACTGTCGTCGAAAATCAAGATGGAAGCCACCGAAGTATGCAGCTGCCATCGAACATCAAGGTGCAGCACGTGCTGCGTGGCTTTTCGCAAGATGGAAGTTGCCAAAGTTGTGTAGGTGTGGTCGAGCATCCAGGTGGTAGTTGCCAAAGTGTGTAACTGTCGTCGAAAGCCAAGGTCGAAGTTGTTGAAAACGAAGGTCCATGTTGCCAAAATGTGTAATGAACTGTCGTCGAAACCAAGATAATCAAGGTCGTAGTTACCAAAGTGTGTAGGTGTTGTCGAAAACCAAGCTCGAAATTGCCAAAGTCTGTATGTCGCGAAGGTTACCAGAGTAGCGTAGACTCGTAGACCAGTATGTAGCTAGGTTCAAGAGTTAGCACATCCAAGAGTTAGCGTAGACAGCTATAGCTAAGTTCCAGAAAGATTCGCCGCAGAGACCAGGAAACATCCGTGAAGAAAGGAGTGTGTCTCTCAAAACGATGAACTCTATCAGTTTTGCTTTGTTTTTTGAATCCTTACGCCCTTGGTTCGCCAAGACTACTCGATTTTAATAAGCAGCAATAACAACAATAATTACTACTTACAGAGTGCGAACGATGAATGGGTGGCCGCACGGCCCTGGCCGCCCTTGCTGACACAAAGCATGATCCCAAACGATGACGGACCCCGCACAGACCTGGCGCGGCGCTTCTTAGTGGCGCGAGGGCTGCTGGCTGGCCACTGGGACGTAGGTTGGTGGGAACAAGTGCTGGCTGTAGTTTTGGTTTTTTTTTTTTTTTTTTCCGTTGCTGATGTTTGTAAGAACGAGTTGGGCGTTCTGTCAAAAAACCTTTATTCCAAGTCGAGTTCTTTGGTGAGTGGGTAGGTGATGGTTGGGATCTCTTCAACGAACCGTAGCACAGTAGCTGCAGACCACCCTTGAAGATCCTTGAAGGGAGATAGCAGAGAAATGACTTCTAATTGGATGTGATGAAGTCGATTTCATAGATCCCACTCCATTCTTGAGCACCTTCCAGCTGTCAGGGAGGAGCCTCCAAAGTCGCCTTACAAACCTGCCACACTTGGTGAATTCTGGTGTTTCTCTTGGGAAAGGGACGCTTCCTCACAGGGAGATTCCGACTTGGATCCGGACCACGAAAGATCAGATCCCACCATATCTTGCGGCACCAGTGAGGTTTGGCGGTCCCATTGTCATTGGACCCGCGAAACGACGGGATGAGGTCTCAAACACCACACGACCAGGCCTTGGGACCTGGTCGGGTCACGGGTGAGCTGGCGCTCAGGTGGACAGGGGGCCGATCGGAAAGAGGTGTGGAGAGCTTTGGAAAGCTTCCTGGAGCAGTCAGAGCTTCCAAGGCCCAGGAGAAAGAGCCACTGTTGAGCGTTTTTCAATCAATGCAGCGATTCGGTCCTTTTCAGGTGCACAATCTCTCGCTTCAACAGGATCCTGCAGTTTCCAGAATGCTTTTTGGGTTCAAGTTCAAACCAGTGACACAGACACTTCGGGCTCTAGGTATGGAGCATGTCTTAATGGCAAACCTCTTTCTATATGACAATAGCTGAGAGTCCGCCTCAACGTCAAGATGTTGCGTTGACTGGAGATCCCAATCCCTCAAGGGCAGACGAATTACACCTGGGAAAGGATTCGCTCCCACGGTTTTTGCGGAACGGCCACCCGGGCTCGTTGGTTTCCTCTTCTCGACGCAGCGGGCACCTCCCCACCCGAGGAGCTACAACGCAGCGGTGAAGCAGTTGAACCTCCTTTTGAGCTCGGAGGATCCCAGTTCCCGGTCCCCCCGGGTCCCCCGGGTGGACCCCCCGCGGCAGCGGTCCCCGCGCGCGGTGCACGGTGAACCGAAAAGCGGCCAGCGGTTGGCCGATGACGACGGCCGTCTGAGGGGGGAAGGGTGGTGGGATCGGTTTGAAAGAGAGGACTCAGGACGGACAGATTTGGGTTTGTAGACACCGTGAACAGGGCTCTTTGATATTTATATATATATATATGAATTGTTGGACCCTGTTTGGAAAAAACAACTTTTTGTGAAACACACACACCGCACACGAGAATGTGGAAGGTGAATTCCTTTATCCGGAAGGCTGGTTTCTCAACCTTCGTTCAACCCTGCAGGCACCCAAGTCTCCTTTCCCTGCGCTTCGGACACTCACCTCTTGCAAGACGGATATTGGTTGACTGCTGGGATGTGCTGCAGAGTATAGCTGCCCCTCACGTAACCCAGAGCTTTCACCGGTTGGCTAAGCCACCTTTCTTTGGCGCCAGAGGACCATTTTCTGAAAAGGGTGCCACGTACATTCTGAACGTCGTTGGATGACCGTTCGTCTCTCGCAAATGACTTGACGGATGAGGTTTCTGCGGTTTCAACTCAGAGGAACAGCCGAAATGAGCCGAAAAGCACCGTGAGGTTGGAACCCAAGCACAGCCCCGAGTAGAGGTATAGACATAGGTCGTATCATAGTCATAGAGGTAGGAATATGGGTCGGACAGCACCCTGCTGTCGAAAAACCTGCTGCATGCTGCATGCTGCTTTTGCAAGCCGTGTGGATGCTTGCTTCACCCATGAAGATACTGGGCAGCTGAGCACGAAGATTCTAAGCCACACATCACCAAGAATATGTTCAGTCCAGCAGCAATGAAGGACTCTACACTTTTCCCTCTGAGTACAAACAATGAATATCCAAGGATGCCCTAGACTGTTAAATCCATTTAGCATCACAGGTTTTCGTGGCAATGCTTGAGGACCTTCTACGGACTTGCTGGGCGCAACGCCGAAAAAACCATCACCCGCCGACCTTACAGACGAACCAGACACCGTCGAAGCCCCACTGGAGCCGAGCCGACCGCCGCTGCTCCCATGGACGCCGAAGCCGCGCTCCAAGAGCCCTTCCTCGCCGAAGGCCTGCGGCCGAAGCTGCTTGGAACGGTCCCCACTCGGTCCACCGCCCCACAAGGGACGACCGGTGCGGTCAACGGTGCGCGTTCCGAGACGTGACGTGAGGACGTGACCTGGAGCGGACCGTGAGACGGGTCCGGGAAAAGCGGCGGCTGACGGCAGACAGACCACGGGTTTTGTTTGTGAAGACACCGACAACGACGAATTCTTCCAAGACCTAATGCGCCGTCGTAGACGAAGTACCTGAAGATGAAGACGAACTCTCCGCGGGGGCCCAAACCACCGGGGCTTGCAATGCTCTGTGTCGTCCCCCGCTCTGTGCAATCGTCAGAATGTGTAGTCAGAAGTCAGACATCGTAAAATCAGAATGCCCTGTCAGTGGGAATACGCTGTCAGAGGAGGTGCGTTGCCAGGGGACTCTCTTTGGGGCAGGTCAAACGTTACACCCCACGTGCTGATACCTTTGACAGAACAGAAAGTCAGAAGACCACCAACTCGCAGATTAAACAGAGGTCATGCAGGTGTGAAGCTGAGAAAACTCACTTGCTGATCTTGTATCCTGCTAGTGACTCTTCGATCCCAGTATTCGCCACCCAAAGTATCACATATAGTATCACCGTTCGCTAGTAGCGTCCGAACGCTCCGTTCATAGCGATGCCGTTCCGTTCGTAGCGTCCTCTTGCTCCGTTCGTAAGGCCAGGAGACCCGTTCGTAGCGTCGTTGTGAGTTCAGTTCTTTTCGCCCCCGGGCTGTTCATCCCAAAAACACCCTCCCGCCACGAGACTCACTAGCTATGCAACTTTTATAGAAGCAATTCCATATACAAACACATACAAACAAAGTAGCGATTGCTACTGGGCAGAGGGTGAATGAATCCATGGCCAGGTTAGCCTCTGGCTGCTTGCTCATAGCCCTTGACCTCTTGTTGAATGGCTCAGTCAATGATCTCGATCGGGAGTCCCCAGTCAAATGCGCCTCAAAATGCCCAAGCAAGTTCGTACCAGAAAAACCCAGTAAGGAGCCACTAAGACCCGTGCTTCAGGTTCCGCTTTTTACGCTTGACTGCTGCGCTGAGTGGTCTGGGCGCCCTTGCCACTCTCGCATGGCCCTCCGGCCCTGGAAGACCTGTGGCGCTCTTGGCATCCGACGAGGTGCCGACCTTGCGGATTTTAGGAGGCGGGGTCATCGCAGGATCTGGGGGCAGGGATGGGTGTTGATCCTACCCAACTCCAAAGCATCGGCGATCCTTTCGAGCTTGCACCTTGGTCAGCGACAGCTTGGACAGCACCTTTCGAGCTTGGAGCCTGCGAAGAGGAGGTTCTGCCCTGAGAAGCCTCCAAGAGCCGGGATCTTGGCCGAACAGCTCCTGTCCAACTTCAATGCCGAACAGCTTAAGTCGCTGCCGCCTTACGTGGCCGAAGTGGTACAGCTCGGCCAAGCCAAAGTGATGGTGCAAGCCGCCAAGATATGGGTCATGGCACCAGGAGACCGGGGCACGACCCACCTGTTGGTCGTTCGCTACATGGTGGACCAGGTCCCTAGGTTTTGACCCATCACCGTATGAGCACATCGGGGACCTGTCAAGGTTTCACAAGACATGCGGCCCCTGTCTTGGGAGCCAAACCGAAACGGAACATACAAGAGATTGCGAAAAAAGTACACAGCGCAGGCATGTTCTTATATTTTCTTAAGACTCTTTTGTACTGACAAGATTATACAAGTGTCACTTTACACTGACTCAAGTCTGAGGGTGTTTCAGAGTTCGTCAGAGCTTGATTCCATATGATTCCATTGGTGGAGTGCTGGAGCGCTTCAGGTTCTTTTCACCTGACCTCATCCAGCTGTTTTCCCGCACGCAGCCAGGCCCCGACGCCCCTCCGCGTGAGCGCTCTTGGGTGCCGCGGGTCTGCACAGAGCTGTACGAGGGCCCCAGCTGCTCGAATACGACGAAGTGGAAAGGGATTGCCCCTTGGCCAAGATTCAAGATCAAGTGTGTGTGGCTCAAAGAAATAGAGCAAACTGTAAACTGTGGGCCCTTCGGGCTTCCTGCAGCCAATTTGTGGGGTCTTCAATTGCTCCATCTCCATTTCTTGAGCCCCGGCCACTTGGTTTCTGGAATTGGGATGTGATAGAACGCTGGTCGTTCGCCATCCTGCTGTATGTCAGAGATCTCTCTGTCTCAGAAGGGGAACGGTGATTCGCCGGTGTGACTTTGATCGTGTTTGCATGTTTTTGGAGACAGCACTCACTATGTCACCATGGTTCACCCACTCCTTGGCGGACTAAAAGGAGGTCATCAGATGTGATTCTTTGTGATTTTGTGATAGAGACCGGGGTGGTCAGAGTCATTTCCTTTGTCGTGGCCATGACTGGATCGCCAGCAAGGGCGAATCACCTTAATTAATTGCTGCCAAAGCCCCACTTTTCATAGGAATCATTCTTTGGGGCTACACCGCCACAGCAAAGCTTTTTTGGGCCAAGGGAATTCACTTCCTTTCCATGAACATGCAATGTATATGAACAGTTCGTGCCTCGCAACTCGCCAGTTCGGTTACGGGAGGGCGCCGGTGAGTTTCGTACCCCTTGCTTGCCCAGCTCTTGTTTTTTTTGAGGTCACACTGGAGATTCATGGGCGGACCATCGACAACGTGAAGATGCACTCAAGGGGTCATTCTTCCGCCATGTGCCTCCGGCAGCAGCTGTGAGCTCGAGCAATAGCACTAGTTTGGGTCTGTGCCGACGTAAACCTGTCGGCAGAATGGGTCTTATCACCCTTTTAGAGAAAGGCTTACAACCTAACCATCATCCACTGAAACCTGGTATATATATAATATATATACAATTATATACATATATATATATATATGTAACGGCGCAAGCAATAGTCATCGTCTTCGAAGATCGAACGAGTCAATGGCTGAATGAGCTTTCTCAGATCTTTGCCCTTTGCCCCACCCACCCGCCGTCCTGGCCAGCCAAGCCAGCTGGCTGCGCGCGCAACCCGCGGCGAAGGGAGCGGAAAGCCTCGACTTTGGGCTTCCGAGATGAGTTCCATGGGATGAACAAAACATGACCAAACTCCGATAGTTGTTTTTGGCCATGAAGACTGAGTCCTCGAGGTTCCCCAAGCATCAGTTCGCGCTCCGCCTGCCCACCGCAATCCCGTTGCTTGGGATGACGCCCGCTAGGACGGAGGGACACGGAGCTTGGTCAGCTGGACTCTTCGAAGAAGTCAAATCCAACAAGGATTTGTTGTAAGAACCACAAGCACCCATCTGACCATCTGGAGACCTCTGGATGATGGTCAGCTGGGCTGTTGTTCCAAGCTATTAAGAATTTCTTCTTTGCACCATTCTTGCGTTTGGAATTTGGAGATGGTGGTTTGGCTGAACAGTTCTAATTCGACTCGCACAATGAGGCCTTTTTTCTGGCCCAAAGAACCACGTGCAAGAAATGCTTCAGCACGACCCTCCTCAAATGACCTGAACTGCATTTGATCTGTCCATGTCCATCCGAACCTCTTCCTTTGAAACCACGTTCGGACCAGTGGGACCGCCGGACACAAAACCGAGTCGACGGATCCACTGAGACGTCGGCGAGAGCTCGTGGAAGCAGTGAACACAAAGTAATGCGAAGCCCCCCCCATATGAAGAGGATGTTCAATTCCAATGGGGTGGGTGTATAAATCGGATTTTCCATCCGTGAACATGGCCATGTTTGAGACCGGGACGATTCTTTATCGTGATCATGGCCATTGTGCTTCGTCGTGTGAAGAGACCGGGACTGATGATACTTCGCTGATGAACGCGGGACAGTCTCCGCGTTCGCCCACGCGGCGGTTAGCTCACTCTTGGTTCGGTCGTGCTCCCCAGTGGCGGTTTGTGAACGTCATGAACCAAGTCTCCGCCATGCAGGAGATGCCTGAATCCTACAGTGCTTGTGGCAGTTGACTTTGGTTGATGGCAACGGTCACCGATGTGATGCCCACAAGAACAATGGAGGATTCAGATTCAGTGAAATTCATTGAAGTGTTTCTCAAACCAAAGAAGGATGCTAAGACAGCTCCTGTCTCGTGGAACTTTCATTTGGTTCCCCTTGGTCATCAGATGGAGCAACCTTCCAGGATGCCCCAGGGGGTGGATTCACGAACATCGAAGATAGTTTTACTCATGGCCACGTAAGGTCCTTGGAGTTTGAAAAATTCCGATGCACCATCTGAGCACCAAGAGAGGCCTGGTACCCCTGGGCCCCTGTCCACCCACCCTGTCTAGATCTCTAGGAACAACATGTGACGTTCTGCTGGATGGGTGTGGCCCCCCCCCGGGTCGCCCGGTTTCGTCCCGCGGAACGGAGCACCAAACCACGGATCCGGATCCGTGCCGCGGAGGGGTCCCGTGCTGCGGTCGGTGCCAGGACCTGGGTCTTAGCGACCTCCTTCGCCCCTCGGAGGATGAAGCGAAGACAAGGGATGAAGCACCTGTTCGGTCGCGGACGAAGGGCACAGTCCTCCAGTCCGAAGAGGAGCGATCCACCATGCGTTCAGAATTGGGCCTTCGTAGTGTTTCCCTTGAGAGTAAATCGAGCCCAGGTCCCACATGTCAAACCGCTCCGCGACATTTGGGACACAGAACTCCCAGATGTGAAAAACAGCGAGGTGGATGTCTCTTTCCAACGCAACCCGCTGGCCTTCGACATCTATCGGCATCTTGGTGGTTGGGCCACCGAGACTGCTTATGTCAACGTGGAGTGGCATGGCGACCTGCCTGAAGCACGGCGGCGCAAGAATGCCGTGCGCTGGGACCACACGTGTCTTTTTGGGAGAGAGACACAACAAAGACATGAAAGGCAGGCAGTGGATTCAGAGCGAGCTCATTTCTTATATTTGGAATTCCACGAGAGAATCTGAGCATCCACTTGTTTCCAAAAACATGCGGTGCGTGAGTTTGGGTGATGAAACCAGTGATGAAACGAGGTCCGGGTGACCTCGTGATGACTTGGCTATTCATGACATCTCTCAACTATCACTTATAACATCTTATAACGCATGAAGAGCATCCAACATGAAGCTTGTCATTGGTTGGTGATTCATGCGTGCCCTCACACTGAATCCGTGTCAAGTTCTTCCAGAGAACTTGGGCAGACAGGACTTTGACCGTCTCAAGCCGTTCGCACATTAAAACCCCCCAGTTCGGCACCAGGTCAGTATTACGGCCTCTATTACGTGGGTCAGCGCATCAAGTGTGGGCAAGGCCGATTAGCACCTTGCTGGGAAGGTCGAGGTGGACTCTGTCAGCGCATTTGGCACTCACGACGGTGCAAGAAAACGGAAGGAATAGGACATGACTGACAGCGACAGCGAAATCAGGACGTGAGAGAAGGTCACGTTCGCGAGAACATTCATATGGATCAAACGTGATCACACCAAAAGGAACACGGAAACTCCAAAGAAGGACCCGGAGGATACGGTTGCCTCTGTGTTTTTTTGGGGGTTCGCCGAGTCCGGACCAGCTGACGCAGAGGCATGAAGCTGAAGGAAGATGCGACATGAAGCTGGTAGCGTTTCCGATTCCTGCTTCGATTCCGAACATTCCTATTTGGTAGACCTCGTTCAAAACGCCCCCCCCTGGAGCGTCTCTTCTTTCTTCCGGGGTAGAGCGGGGGCTCACGGGACGATTTTCGCGCATGCTTCGATTTTCAGTGCTGAGGATGTTTGCCATCGAGATCCTGACCCTGACGCCTCTGGATTTCTTCTCACCATTGATTGGGCCAAGCCAGGCGATGTCTCTTGGCTGGTGGGGGACGGGGCTCCGGTGGGGGCTCCGGTTTGTGTTGATCCCAAAAGAGGCGGCGCAGCCGGTGGGTTTTGGCTGTCTTGGTCGAAGACTAGACCATATTAAAGACCAGAAAGGAGATGGGGAACTTGATGGATTTGAGCGACCTTCGTAGTTTGCACTTACCCTCTCGTGTACAGCAAGGCTTGCGTTGAAGCCGGGGGTGTTCCGGATGGCCCAGGACCGGGTCCAGCTCCAAGCTGAACTCATCAGCAGCGGACTCCAGTCCAAGCCGGAAAAAGGGTCCACCTCAACATGGTCCTGGCATTAGCTCACCCGAGTGGTTAACAAACTGCTCAACATGGGCAGAAGAGGCACTCTGTGGCGAACAGCCTCGTTACTCACACCGGGCTATGGACCTTGATTCTGCGCAATACGCTAAGTTAAGATCATCCAGAGCGTCGCATAAGCTTGCTTCTGATCTCCGCAAGCTCTGGCTGCGGACCCGATTGCTCGTACGATGCTCTGTGGAGTGGCGCTAGTGCTGCACGCCTGCTGGTACCGACCAAAGCGACGAAGGGTGAAGGTCAAGCCTTTCTTTGCGAATCAACCATTTTCTGAGTACAGTAATATATATATATATATATAAAGCTGACCACTCCACTTTCTGCCGCCATTCGGGCATGTCAAATAGTCCATGCCAGCAATCCGAATAGTTTACACACTTGATTTTCAACCTGTTAAAACAAGGCACACAAAGCACGCATATGTTTATTATTATTTGTATTTCTTTTTTTCCACACGTGATGTTCAACTCGTTTTTTTTTTTTTTTAGGACTTTAAGACACATGCTTTTTTTTTTTCCTCTGTTCAATTCCGGGTCGACTCCCGACCTCCTTCAGGTCGCTCTGAAGAGTTCCTTGGAGCGAACGACGGGAAGCCGCGACGGGAAGGGTCGCGGTGGGAGTTCTGGCAGGCTGGGAGTTCTGGTTTTGAGTAAAGAGACAAGAATGCCACATCCAATGAAATGGGGGGCTTCATGAAAGCAAGAAAACAGACATCTTTCATTTTTTCTTGAATCTTCTTTTTGATCATTCAAGGGGCGTGCTGGAATGGCGGGATCTTGCGTTCACTCTGCTTTTTCAAGGGGGGAGTTCGTTTCGTTGCAACACTGGCCATGCTTTGCATGGATGTGCAGCTACTGTAGGGCCTCTAGCGGGTGGGTGGTGAGGGTCGAGCAAAAGAGAAGAACTACGAGGCGCCATTGTAGCTCTAGAGGTGGTTGGTCATTCCGTGTCCAAACTGTTTGGCAGGCACAATCATCACTTTTGAAAGCTTGTTGCGGCTGGGAAGCTGGTTTCATAGAAATGGCTTCAACCTCTCCCAATCCTTGGGCCTCGCCCCGACCTTGAGGCAACGTGACATCCACTTTCTTCAATGTGCTCTACCCGACTGGCGCGTTAAGACCACAGGAGCCGTCTCGGGATGGTAGAGATGGGGAGCTCCCATAGCCGAGGGCGCTTGACTTGAGTGTGGCGTTTTTGTGGTGTGGGGACGCTCGTACATGGACGCTCTAGACCCAGTTCTTTGGCGCAGCCGTTACGTGTGTAACCGCTCAAAATAACAGAAACAAAGTATACGATTCACTTTGATTGCATATTGCATATTAGAATGTATTGTTTTGCCCTGCGCGTCGATGAGCTGAATGAGACAAACAGAAGAGCTGGGCCCATATGTATATATAAATATTTTATGTAATTAACACACACATATATATATATATATGTACACCCTAGGAATGTGTTCATTGAATACGAACATATAGAACTCCTGTGAGGCCTTCTTGATATCGCTTGGTGTCAAATGACAAAGATGATGCTTTCGGATTGTGATTTTGCACGGAAGTGGTCGAGACTGACATCCCCAGGTTCCTGATGCATATGTGGCACACGTGTTTGTGCCTTTTAGGCTTCATAACAACTTCAGCACAAATCATATTGCTGGAAGTTAGACAAAGCAATGTACCAGATCAGGGGTACTCCTGATGACACATCCTGCTTGAAACCACCTCACCGTAACCAGTACCCCACAAGTGCAGTATTTCAAGTCTTGCCTTGCCGCCCAACATCTTCAAATCCGTTCAACCGGTTTGTAGACGAGGCTGCGTCATGATGAGCACCATTCGTCCATGGCGAGCTTTGTGCAGTCAGTTGGTTAGCCGTGAAGCATCCAGCTTGTGCAGTCAGTTCATTGGCTTTGTGGAGCCAGTTGGTTGGTCATGCCCAGTTGGATGGCGATCTACTCGTTTTGTGGTCAATCTGGGCATCCCAATCGCGTCTTCAAAAAACGGAACGTGCCTTCAAATCTGCATGATCCTCGGATGACGCGCAGACGCGTGCGCTGAGCAGCGCGAGTCCCTTTGAGGAGCTCGACTTCTTGGGCACTTTGATCAACGAGATCGATGTCCGTCCGGAGACCCGGCGGGAAGCACGACCTTCACCGGCGTGCCGAGATCAACCGGTCGGCTTTTTGGGGAATACCAATCCACAAGCACCTGCAAAACACGCCAGAGTGCAACACCTATGGCCTATAGCATCCTATAGCATCCTATAGCATCCTATTGTATATAGCCATATATATATAATACAACTATCAAATGCAAGTGTAACAAAGCTTTTCAACCATTGTTCACCGTGAACTCACGAGAATAGTGACGGCAAAATACTGTTTGATTCTGTAGCATTCACGGAGAACTGCATGCAGAGATACTGACAGGGATCGTTTTCAGAGCTGGCTTGGTCAGGTATTAGAGAATCGAGTCAGGTTTTCTGAGGAGGAACGCTGTAGATCAGTGTTCGTCTCTTCTCACATGGTCTCAGTGAGCTCCGACCCTCCCTGACCCGGACGGCTCGACCACTGAGGTGCGGCCACGGGGCACGGCGGCCTGCAGCAGCTGGTGGACCTGCCGAGCCACTTGGGAAGGGCCGAAGGGCACCGAAGGAACGAAAAGGAGCTGGAAGCTTCCTGAGAGAATGCCTAGAAGTGGAGACTCTCCATAGGAGTATCATTGGGGGGGGGGTGGAACTGCTAATTACATAACCTGGCATATTGGATGCCACCAGTCAATTCTGATGAACAGCTGTGTGAGGCTTTCTGCGGTATTACATCATGGAGGAACTGGCCAAAGATGTGGATGGCTATGCCTTTTCGAACTACGCCGCTGGGCGCAGCGCCTCAATCCGCCCCCGGCATCGGATCGGCCCAAAATCGTTGTGGGTCAAAGTTCATGAAGCCGCCTGACGCATTTCTTTAGCGGCTGGTTTGAAGGGGGAGGTCAGCCGTCAGCCTGAGGTTTTTCCATGCCACGGTTCTTAATGGTTGATGTTCATGCAGTTCCGTTCTTGTGCCGAACCCTGAGGTATGCATCCCAAGCTACAATATGTTAGAATACTTGGGATATATATATATATATTTTCGCTTCACCTCTTGGCAAGCGCTTCACTTTGACCACTGACTGAGGTGAAGATCAAGAATGGGATGCTGTACCATGCAGCGCCCTGGGACTTTGACTCTTGATCAGCATTTTTCGAAACGGGTCTCCTTTCCGGGGCAGATGCTTTGCCGCCGATTCTTTCAAGATGGGCCCAAAAGGGAGGAGAGTCGTGGTTCAGTGTGGGGAGCACTGCAAGATCCAACTCCGGTCGAGAAAGTCAACTAAAGTGGGTTTGCGCTCCCCAACGCACCCAACGCACGCCCCCTCTCACAAGGTGCAAAGGTTAAACCGACTTCAGCGACAGAAAACGAGGACTTGGCCTTTGACTTTGCCTGTATGCCAAGATATTTTACCAATAACCTGACTGGAGAGGTCCATTTGGGAGCGAGACTCGGCTGAGAAGGGACCCGATTTGACCCATTTGTTCGTTGAGAGAAGAGTGCACCAACTGAGAAGATGACCAGGTGTGACTAGCTCTTGCGCGATAGGCGATAGGCAGTTTTTTGGGGCAAGCTCTGACCAGATGAAGCCGGAAGTGGATGCCGGATGCCTTGACTGAGGCGCTCAAGCCTTGGCAGCCATGAAGCCACTAAGCCAATCTGTTGGCTGTCTTCATCTCTCACGACATAAAATCAGCATTAACCGGCCTGTGTGTTTCACGTTTTTTTTGGAGTGCGTCTCACTTTGACACGAAGATATGGACGAGGCAGGGTTCAGATGATCTGAGTGGAGACAGACCCTGACCAAGGATTGGATGGAATGTGGAGAATTCCAGATCTGATGCTCTTTGGATCGGCCCCTCAGGGATGCCTGGTGGGAGCGTGAAAGAGCCACCTGGTCGCAGCTTGTGGCCTCCAACTTGTCGACGCTTGGTCGACGTGCATGTTTCAGTAGGTATGGAGATTTTGCTAGCTGTCAATGGCATCTAGCAAAGACATTACCCGTGTGATTTTATCCATTCGTTCGTTCGAGTCTTGTACAGCTGCCAGGGTATCACATGTACTGCGACTTGGGCTCAAACCCAGGGCCCTTGAGCTAGTGGAGACGAAAACAAACGGATGGTGTCGCGATTCGGTAGCGGAGCCGGTGCTGGAAAGTGTTTCCCAGCCCGGACTCTCACAGCGGCTCTCAGATCCAGGACTTGGTCGTTTGGCAGCATAGCTAACCAGAGTTGAGTTGGAGCTTGGTTGATTGTGCTTGACTGGAACCATGCATTTAGCCGGACTGCATTTCAGATCCTCCCACAAGGAGGGCTACTGGAGACTAAGATTGGTTCCTACATTGATGCAGGGGAGCCGGCCGGATTCCACGAATGGGAACGACACGGACGACCAGCTCGGTGCCCGCAGCTGGAGAACAGGATGCCTTTGCCTCACCAAAGACCTTTTGCGTTGGACGTGGCGGAGGTGATATCAGAAGTTGAGGGCTTGCAAGCTGAGTTGGCGCAGAAGGTGCTTGAAGGCTTGAGAGATGATGCATACTTGGCAGCTCAGGACTTGGTAGTTGCCGTGTTCTTGCAGGAAGATGAAATTGAAAGGGCCTTGAGCTAGTGGAGAAGAAGCCAAACGGATCGCGTCAAGATTCAACCTGCTTTGCAAGGTACTGCAAGGTTGTATATAGAAGTGGCAAGCTTCCCCCCCCAGCTGCTCCGTTGCTCTACAGGTTTCCACAACAGTCTACCGGGGTTGTTTCATGAGATGGTCAACCAAGCGATCTAGGAAGCTAGCCAACAGGGATCGCTCATGAGTCCGTTCCTTGGAGGTTTGGAATGAACAAACGGCAGCACTTCCTGAACATCTGGAGATATCCCGGATTCCAGGCCGAAAGTGATGGGAGAAGTTTCGGAGGTGCTGGAAAGACCAGCTGTTCACCTTCCCATCGTTTTTGGTAAGTATTTTGTGAGGAAATCCGGCGCTTCTATGAGCTGGCACGGCGCCGAAGAGGTGTTTCTCCAAAATGCCTTCCATTGTTGTTTGATGCAACGCACCTGGCTGTTTTGGATTGTTTTTCCTTGTTGTGATTGTTCATATGTTTTTTCCATGTTTATAAATTAGATGAACATAGTGATGAACATCATGGCTGTGTTTGGTGGATCCACCAAAAAATGCAACTCACAGAAGGCGCCCTTTGAAAGTAATCACGAACCCTTGAAACCGTGTATTTAGTGTACCAGCCCGAACTACTTGTGGATCTCGGTCGAATTGTTTGGTGCTATCCTGGTCGTACGCGACAACCATACGACGGGAGTCGGATTCTTTGCATGTAGTGGTTGGGGACTCGGACATTTCTTGGGCGCTGGAAGAGAGACCAATTTGTAAGTGCCCTAATTGCGTAAATTGGACACAGAAAGTGACCCAGGACATGTTTTCGACGACAAGAACCATGGGGGAACTGGATGGAACTCGGTTCCCCTTGGTGCATCGAATGGGAAAAAACCACATGGGCATCGAATGGGAGTCTTTGCTCCCATGTGGGATTCGCTCAGTGGACCCGATCCACTGGATCCACCGGATCCACAGGCCGCTTTTGCTGGAGCCTGGCGCGCGGCGCGCGCGCGCACCTTGGGGGATCATGCACTGCGATCCATGGTGGCTTGGAGCCTGGGGAGTCTGGGGAGTCTGGGGGATGGGTGTTTAAACATGTGTTTAAAGGGCCTTGTTCCGCTGGTCAAGCAGCGATGGTTGGTATTTCAACTGCAAGCCCACAGACCGTCACAGGCCCCGTGAATGAACTGGAAGGACCAATCCAGGAAAACCGACGAGTTCACACCGTTTCTCCACACCCAGGTCGAAAGCCGCAGCGCTGTCATTGGCCCTTCTGCACGCCGGGACCTGCACTTGTGGCGAAGAAGCTTGACGGTGGACCACATGGCTTTTCATTGCCTTTTCATGTGTTCTTATTGTTTTCTTCTTCAGTTCTTCAGCGCATTCATGTCAACAATGTGGGATGTCACTCCCGATGTCAGTCTGGCATCAATACGGTATTACTTTAATTGTCAAGCTGTTTCTTGGCGGATCTTCCCGCAAACTCGGAGCCGGTTTTCGGTCTACCAGACAGGTGGGGATCGCGAAGGTGATACTGATAGATGTGATCGTTTTGCTTTCTGGGAATGTGGGGGAGTTGCCGAACTCTGGATCGTAGGGACAGGCACCACTTTCTGCATCAGAAGCTGTTGAGCTTGTCCCACCAGACTTGTGGCAATTGACATCCTCGATGATGGGACATGCGGTTTTCCATGATTGGACATGAGTGGCCAAACGGTGGAGGCTCACTCAAAGTTTTTCCACGTTTTTCATATTCCACTCCTTGGTTAAATGTTTTTTACAAGTGGTATGTATGGCCAGTGGATCTTTATCAGTTTGTGGTATGCTTTGAGGAGTGGATAGAATGAAGCCGCCTGAGCTAGTGTTTCCTGCCCAAAGGGACGAACCGGAGATACCTCTAGACCTGAGCGTACACCTTGGAGCGTCAGGTTTTTGGATGGTCCAACGAACTCGACGACCAGAAAAAAACAAATCCAATTGATCTGACATGAAACAGAATCAAGCTTTGACTGAACACCCACTGACTTCCATTCGCAAAACGGTCCCCGGGTCGTTCCGCTTGGTGTTCCCGGTCGATCCTTCCAATCTCACCGCACCCATGGGCAGCTCTCGACCCTCGGAGCCGTCCGCCGCTGAGATACCAGCCGCTGCGGCTTTTGGCACTGCTGTGCTCCACAAGATACGCAAAGCTTTGAGGCCACGCGATCGGGCTGCGGTCTTCCGGAGTGCAGGGAGAAGAGTCACAAGCAAACAGATCCATTCCATGGAAATTCCATTACACCTTTGGGCGAAGCTGCGGATGCAACTTGTTTGTTTTTTTAGCTATCCGCTATCCTGTGGCTTTGAGAGGTGTGTAGCTTCGACCCACACCTAATCGCTCGAAAGTGACTCAACCTTGGAGGAAGCGCAACGACATTTGATCTCCTACTTGCTGGCTCGTGCAAAGCAGCTTGGAATAGAAACACAGGTTGTTGGCAAGGCGGCTGAAAAGTATGCCAGAGAGAATTCACCGAGGACAACCGGATCGGGGTTGGACATACTCTACGTACTTCATGAAATTACTGTAACTGTAATATTTTTTTGCAATCGCATTTGTTTGGTATTAGATTGAACGAGGGCCACCCTGTACCGAGTCAAATTGATGCAATTGAACACTGCTCTAAGGGACCAGTGCGATCTAAGAGGAGCACCGCTTCTGGTGTTTGATGGTTGACATGTGTGTCGCGGAGAGTATATAGTCAGTCCTTCGATCGGAGGATTTCGCTTGAGAGTGAAAGGTTGGTGTATTCATAGATTCCAAAAAGTAGCTTCATCTTGAAGTTGTTTTCACAGGCACATCTTGCCTGGTCGCGCCCTCGCGTGCCGCCCTGTAAGGTGGATGGATGAAAACGTGGCCTTCTTGAAGCATTAAGGATCCAAGGACCATTTGGTCGCATCTGGAATCTCCCTGTTGATGTTTTTTTTGCCCCTCAGTTGAGGGAAAAACGATCGCAGTTTGTGTTGTGATGGATTTGCCGCAAGTCGGGGCAAAGTTTGGTCATTCGGCTCCGCTGTGCAACCGAAGGGGCTGGTGAGGGGGTTGAGCTTCAGAGCCAGGAAGGCAAGAAGCCAGCAGAGTTAGCGAGATTGTTGAGAGGCTTGATCGGTGGTTCTTGTTTGGCCTCTGGTTACCTGCGGCTTTGTGAGCTATGGCTTATGCAGCTACACTGGGAAGATATAGGACATGGAGATATACTGGGAGTTTGCAGAATATATAGGTTTTTTTTTTTTCAATCGTAACTCAAAGGGCAGTTTTGCCAGGAGCCAATGTTTGTTTCTAGCATGGCTGGGTGAAATGAGGATGGCTTCCTTCCTACCTTGACATTGGATATCTTCTTGGTATAAAAATGGGGAGACCTGCCAAAGACCACCTGGAAGAATGAACATAGATCAAGACCCAGTGATTGTCTCTCTCTCTCTATATATATATATATCCACTTGAAGTGCTTCCACTTCGGGATTCGAGACGCTGTTTGCCTTGTTTACTGAGCGTTGGATGGCTTTTCGTTCAGCCTGGGCACATGGTGTCAGGATCGAAGCTGAAGAGCTCCAAAGTTGAGCTCGGGATCCGCGGCGCTCCAAAGTGGAACACCGAAGGATTCGAATTCAACACATAAGCACACACTCATCGCCCCCAAATAGAGACATGCCAAGAACATGAAAAGATCCACTGCTCAACCAGAGTTTTGTGGTGCTATTGTTGAGGGAAAGGGATTATGTTCCATAGTGCAGGTTCTAAGATTCTCAGCACCTGCCTTCTGCGCCAAGATCACAGCTGCGTGCTCGGTTGTCTGACAGCATGAAGAATGGTTTCGGTTTGACACGTGTCTTCTGTTCTTCTGTTGACGATCGAGCCATCACACCACGGGGGCAACAAGGAGGTTTGAAGAGAAGAGCGGAGACAGATGAGGGTACCATCAGCACCACTCCCCCCAAAATAGTGACCAAATCATTAGTGCGCGAGCTATCCTAGAAGCTTACTTCATTAAGTAGGGCTCCTACTTAATTAAGTAGGAGCGGGCAAAAAATACAAAGAACCTCAGTTGGAGTCCAATCGTTGAACTAAGTCTAGCTGGGAAAGATCCTTCGGTGCTTCGCTGAATCCGCGACGAAAGCGGTTCCTCCACAGACTGCCCCGTGCTGGTTGGTACAGCGGGTAGTTCTGAATCCTGGCTGATTGACAATCTCTTCCTGAAACACATGGACATCAGTTGCCGTTCGGCCGCACCCTTGTGCCACGGCACGGGCACCCTTGCCAGACAGAGCAGTGCTAAAAAGGGGCTTCCTTGGACTGTTGCAGTGAGCTGATGGGGTCGTGGTCTTTGGCTTGGAAAGACACTGGGTGTCGAAGTCCTCCATGATCGACCTCGGAACGAATGGGTGGTCGGGCACGCCCACGGTAGGCCGGAGCCCGACGACCACCGCGGGTGTCTGAGGTGGGCGCCATGCCCGGGAAGCTCATCCAGTGACCTGGACACTGAGCGAGCGAAACGGGCGAGTCGGACGCGGTGTAATGGCTCACCCGACCGGGGACCAATCAACTCGAGTGAAGGGGAAAGGATGCTCGACACCGGTGAAGATCGTTTGTTGAAGGATGTGGTGTAATGGCTTTAGACAGAAGCAAGAATTGGTGATCATGGGTGGTAAAGACCGTTCTTCGTGTCAGACCACTCACTTTCAGGTCTCAGGGTTGAGATTGACCCAGAGTGATGGGCAGTATTTTCAATCAAGATATATACCGCCCAAAGACACCCTGCTCAACACAAGTTGAATTAGATTCAGATCTTTGTGGGTTGGCCTGCGTCAAGCAATTCCGATCATGCCAGGATTTGGCATGACACTCCCGGTCATCCAGCGACATGTCGTTTCTCCGTGACTCCCCGCTGTTTGCGTGAGTCATGCTGCAAGTGACCCAGCGATTTCAAGAGCGTCAGGTATTCCATTGGTTGTAACTGACTTCACCGCGGCAAATCTTGCGTGGCCACAGTGAACATGCAGAACACACACAGCAACTGAAGAGTCTCTGGGCCGTCTCCTCCCTGTTTCCTCCTTCCATTTGGCCCATTCTCGCCCTCCCGTCCGTTCCGTTCCTGGACACTCGAACCGCGCGGGAAACTCCGGAGGTGCCTGAAGTCCACGGGATGCTCCAACCCGGTGGTGCTCATCGATGAGATCGACAAGCTCGGTCGGGGTTTCGAAGTATGACTGGGTGGACGGTGCGTTGAGACGTGGCAGGTGAAAAACGATGCAGGTCGAGGGTGTGTCTTGGGTTGAAGGACAGAACCGAGTATGGCCAGAAGGGTCTCGCGGATTCCATCGGCCTTCGAATCGCCACTGGATGTGTCTTCGGTTTAGGAACAACATCGCGTCTTCAACGGAACAACGAACGCGGTGGAGTTGGGAGTTTGAATCGCTTCACAGACCGGCAAGGTTGTTGAGTTTATAGGGGACGTGTGAGGTTGAGGAGAAGAATTCGGATGGATGGAACACACAGTTTTTGGATGTTTTTAGAGCCAGGAAGTCTTTGCCCAGTGTTTCACAATCGTCTCCCCACTGACTGATTGAACGGCTTTTTTGCTTGCGAGGTGAGAACACAAAGCATGCGCATGAATTCAAACCTCGTGCTCGCCGAGCTACAGGGGCACACCATTGAAGGATTTCCTTGTTGTAAAATGCCTCCTCCACTCAAGGGTATTGGATCACCACCTATTCTTGGTGACATGGCCACATGCGCGTGGCACAAAGGTAATCCATGAACCACATCGTTTGGACCACTGAAGAACTCGCTTTTGATCGATCACCAGTGCACACTTCATGAGGTCCGATATCACAAAAAGGAACAATAAATCATTGGTTTTCCACGGACCACCAAAATCAACCGCATCCTTAAGCCTTAAGCCGTTGCGAAGCCTCAGGCCGGGACATGCGTGGAGATCCCTCTTCTGCCAGGGCCTGGGACACGTCGAACTTCGATTAAGAGTGATCAGGACGTGCAAGACTTGCGCAGAAGCAAGAGAAATGGGTCACGGGAAATGGGTTTTTGGGTCCTTGGCGTCCTTGGTTCCCTTTGAGAATAAAAGAACAGAAAGAAAGAAAGGTCTTATCGTGGATATATACAACACGTTCTCACTTTGTCCTCAAACTGTGCTGTCCATATACCCCAGAGAAGAGACACTTTGGTTCCTCAAAACAACACATGCTATTGTTTCTGGGCCGGGTCACCACTTCTGACATGACATCTCCACTGACATCCACCAGTGTCCAGGAGCCACGCCAAGCAAAACAACCCTTCGGCAGAAAAAAGACTCCGACCAAGCGAGAAAGCCGAGCCGAGCTTCACGAAGTCTGAGGCGCTGCTGGAAGTTCTGGACCCCGAGCAAAATGGCAGCTTTCGGGATCACTACCTGGATGCCGCTTGACCAAACTGGGTGATGGGGTGATTCTGTGGTGAAGCTAGCATGTTTACAGTCGGTGAAGACAGTGAAGATGGAGGGAGTTCAGGGAGTCTCTATGTTGACTGATCAGTTGATTGTGTGAAAGAAGAACTTTGCACGCCATTCGGGATTGAGGGAGACGGGGTGAAGCAACAGCAGCATTGCATGAACCTGGGTCCTGGTGATATGGCCTGCGCCAGAGGCTGATATCACCTGGACCTAGTGTGCCTGAGAGCTTTGGGCTGGAATCAGTGTTTTCCCATGAACAGCTGGAAAAGGGAATATCTAAGCTCGGTGCAGGTCGACGGGGTCGACCCCTCCACCGGCGACCCATGGGTCGGTGTGGACCGACCCGGGTGAGCAACGGCCCTCGGCCCAGGTCCCAGTCGATTTGTCCAACATCCTCTTCCTGAGCACGGCGAACATGTTGGACACGATCCCCGGTCCGCTACTGGTCGGGACGCCCGGTCTGCTGGGGAGGGAGGGAGGGTGAAATTGCAAACATGGAGGGTACCTTTGAGGGGTAGCTACCCGGTACGACTGTGGGTCTATGGTCTATATTGGTCTATCGCCTTCAAAACCTTGGGGTCTTTCGGACCACAGGTGATTCAGAACGCCGCAGCGAAGACTTCGTGAGACTTGGACGCCTGCCCTCTTGGACGCTGCGCTGCGTGGTGGTTCTGAGTGCCGGTGGCCTCTCCCGTCCGACGCGCGGCTTCTTCGCTCCTAGACGCTCCGTGGCATGGAGCGTTTCCACTGCCCAGGACCGTATGGAAATCATCCGCCTCGCGGGCTACGTCTACGAAGAGAAGCTGGCCATTGCCAGCAAGTGCGCGACCTCTCTTTGCCGTGTGGAACGCGTGGGAGGATTGGTCGTTGGGGGAGGAGAACAGCGAAGAGTTGGTGAGTTGGTGTCAAGTAGGAAACAGACCCACTTTTTTTCCCGAGAATCGAAGGATGTGCTTTGCACCTCAAGGGTACGGGGACTTGGCTTGAAGATTGAAGGAACCCTGATAAGGAAGGGAAGGGCATTCGGTCACTAGTGATACCAAGTAGCCCCGCCTGGGGCCAAGACTCAACCTTGAGCCCATTCAGTTCCGGAAGTTGCGAACACGGGATGCGGACATACAAGGTAATGCAGCAAGTAATACCTGGTCTCAAGGCATGAGTACAGTATAGAGATTAGACGTGAGACCTACCATAGATGGAAGAGATAATCACACCGCAAGATGGCCCTGCTTTCTGAAGCCATAAAATGCTTGCGCGCAAAGAGTTCAGAAGAACAGAACGGCGGCTGAGACAAGACTGGCAGGGGAGCTGCGTGAGCGGTTCGGAAAGGTCTTTTTTCCATGAGGTGCCTGCTTCTTAATTTGTATTATAGATTTATAATAGATCTATTGTGGATCCTATAAGTTAGAAGGAGTTGGTTTTTGAATTTTGTCCATCTACTGTAGGGATTCCTGATGGGTATGGACGATAAAGATGTTCTGAAGGCCACGTACCGGCAGTGCTTCTTTCTCCCAAAAATCCAGACCCTGGATCAGCAGCCTTTCTGAAAGGCGCGACAGGCTCTGGTCATCCTCAATTCAGACCTTCAGGTGCAGCAGATGGTCAAAAGGGGCACAGGGATTAAACACATCTCCAATCAAAACAATAATTGCCTCATCAGCTGGTCGTGTGGTCCTTTGGTCGCCCGGTCTCCTGGTCATTTGGTTCCCCTGGTCCTTTGGTGCCGTCCCTTGGTTTGCTAGTCCATGGTCCCTGGTGCTTTGGTGCCCTGGTCCCTCACTGATCTTGTAAAGATCATTCACCAGATGTTGCGTTCATTGTCCTCCCATGTCATATATTCCTTTAATGTGTCAACGTAGCTGATTAAAAGCACGGGCCTTCGTGGAACTAACCCAATATGAAGGCCTTCCCCATCATGGCCACACACAACACTCCCAATCTTCTTCTAAGGATGCTGTGCCTGCCATGACGACGGGAACAATGCCATTCCAACGTAGCATGCCTTTCGTGGGCCAACTAGAGGAGGAAGGAGCCATTGGGTAAGGGTAACATTTAGATGAGAAAGGAGCCATTCCAACACAGCAAACCTTCTGTGGAGGAAAAGTTAAAGGAGGCAGTTGCCATTCCAATGTAACATTCCTTTTATGGGCCACGCCATTCCAATGCAGCACACCTTTTGTGAGCCGCCCGAGGCTGAATGTTGGAGGAGGAAGTTGCCTGTTTTGCTCCCACTGTCTTGTTTGGTTGTGCCAAGTTGCTTACGTTCCTTCTTTTGCCTTGTCTCCGGCTATCTTCGGTTCGGTATGTCGTGTCTGACTACGGCTGTCTCTAACTTTCTCAGTTGGCACCAGAGCCTAGCTAGACTGACCTGCGACGCGTGGAAAGAAGGGCGATGTTTTTCCGCGTTTTCTTTTTCCTGTTTGGGGTCTATGTTACGTTGAAATAGTTTCAGAAGCGCTCAGTCAGAACGACATCGTTTTGGGGTACCTGTGTATGTCAGACGTCCTCTTTCGAGCCTTCCTGCCGGCAAAGCACACAGAATGCCCAGACAATGATGAAAGGATTTGTTGTAGTGCAACCTTCTGTTCTAGTTTTGTGGAACTTGCCCCCCCCAGACTGACCTGAGCACCGGAGGTACTTGATCCCCCAGACAGAGGACAGCTCGAAAAAGTCTGACTGCTACGAACTTGCCATTCTTACTGGCATGGTGTAATGCACACACATGGCATGCACACAGGCAGCCGCGCAGCCGCTCGTTAACCGAGACGGGTTTTCATTCTGACTATGACTCTTAGCCCATGTGAGCCCCATGTATGTCCATGTGCATGGGCCAGGCTATTGTACGTTGGATGTTTTTTGGGGAAAAAGTAGACTATATGTGTAAAGCAAGGACCTGCAATTGGATGCTGATCAAGCTCCCTGCAAGTCCCATACTTGGTCATGAGCCAAGTTGGTTCATTGGGGCTGGAAGTAGAGGAGCAGAGTGGCATCGGCACAGAGCGGCTGAACTTGCAGGCAGGTGGGACACAGCATGCGAGACACTGACTGGCGTGACACGACCAACATAAACTAGAGTCTAGAGTCTAAAGGTAGAGTTTTTTTTCAGGAACAACATGGAGTTAAGATCAGAAACGATGATCAACGAACCCAGGTTTCCCAAGTTTGCTCTTCTTTCATGTTGTTTTGCTGAACCAATGCCATCTCGCCATATCTTGATGGCACAGGAAGAGGCTCTCCAGAAGATGATCAAAGACTATGCTCGAGAGGTGCGAAGAGCACTGGCCGGCAGGAAAGACACGTGCCATGAGAACGGTTTTTCGGTAACGGCTTAGGTGCTGTAGGATAGTCAACCGTGAGGAGATCGATCAAATCTCCCAAGTTAGCCTGTTCTAAAGGAAAGAAGATCACAAGTGGCCACGGGAAAGCTGTGACCCGAAAGCTGTTGATCCGTATGAGCAGGAGTCTGAAAGTCTGGGAGTTTCAATGAGTTTCACAGCAATCAATCGAGCACAGAAGGCACATCCAGGTAACATCTACCACCACAACCACCGCCACCACCACAACCACCTATGAAGATTTACTTCAAAGTGTTAACTAAACAAAATCCCACCAAACTTTGAAACGACTCGCGGCTGCCCTTCCCCCACGCTGTGCGTGATGCGATTACTTTCACTGCCTTGAGCCAATTTGTGCGTATCATTTTTGCACTAGAGACCATGTTGACTTGGTACATTCTCGATTTGTGCGATCCATCTATTCAAAAAGCACGGTCAAGAACAGGCGTACCAGCCTGCAACCAACTTCAAACATACTGTACTCCAAGTTAACTCCATTGGAACACGTGTGCTTCGACATGCTGACAAGGATGGTTGAACAACGGAGGGATTCATGCTATCGAGTGGTGACGAATCGAACTTTCACGCACATTTCGATCCATGTTCGCAAGAACTATATCAGTTTGGAAATTCCCGTGAGCTAGTTACTGCATTACCCATCTAGAGCGCTGGAACCTGAAACCTAAAAAGGCCCTGCTCGCAACGGAAAGGTGAAAGAGTCAGCCTAAACAGGAATGTTTGCATCAGTCGAAGGGAACAATTCGAAGGGGTACACAGTCAGACGTCTCTGACCGACACCACTAGCTTCGTTGGCCAGCGTTGTGATGTCATGCGCTGGCCCCCTGCGAATCTGTACATGGTGTATGGTGTTAATTAGAGGTTATATAAAAGGAGTTTTACTTAGACGATGTGGTCATTCTCCTTTGGAACAGGAGGTGACACACACAGACACACACCCGCAACCATGCCTGCTGGCATCTTGCAGGGTATCTCAGCATAGCTCTATCTCGATCCCTCTTCAAGTTCACCTGAGTCATACACGATGGGAATTCGATGCGTATTCGGCTCAACATGCTAAGACAGGCATGTCAAGTGGAAGCGGCTTTCCAAGTACCTATATGTTTCAGCCTACTGTGTTCCTAACTCTCAAGCACTCTAGGGCCTCAAAGGAATGAACGCACCCACACACACTGCTTGGAAGACGTGACCACTCGGTCAAGGTCTACCAATCAACGAGTCCAGTGATCTGAGGCCACCGTGTGCCATAGAGGTCTGGATGCTGCAAGGTGTTCGTGCATTAAACACTATGAATTCGGTTGTTAAAATTCGACCTGGTCTGATCTGCGAACCATGTACTGAGCTGCACGGCCAGTGCATTGGGATAACAGCCAAGACCTTCCAAACTCTGGTGGTTCAACGCTTGATGCCTTTCAAATGAACACACCCGCTTGCACATGTGTACACTGCTAGCATCTCGAACAACTACACGGGGAAAAATCACATGTGTGCTTTCTTATCCCGGAGGGAGCTCGACTAGAGCCCCGACTCTGAGAGCGCTCCGGACATTGAGTGTTGCAGGGTTCCATGATTTCTTCGAATGTGGCGCTCATCAAGTCCGTGAACTCTTGACGAACGCCTGCTGGATTTCGTTTTGATACTTCTGGGGCGAAGTTTTTCGAACAGGGAAAACAAAACCTGTACATGGAGGGCTGCACCAACACATGAGATTCAAACTTGAGGATGATCAGCTTGAAGTGAGTCCAATCCATGAAACATCTTCACGAATGGTTTTGACGGCAAACTCTGTCACGGAAACCACCCCCTCTTCGTCTTCTTCAGCCGTGACTTGTGACACGTCACTTGCGCAAATCCTGCTTGAAGTGTCTTGACATGCAAAAATTCCCCTGTCCGAACCTGAGCCCATGTGACGCACGCATGTCAAAAGTCCCTGATTCTGCAAAGAAGCAAAACAGCTCTGGCTATCAGAGAACAACAGCAATGGGAAAGCTTCACGTTCACCTGTGCTTCCAACTTGATCAAACTTGAGGCTTGAGATGCTGGGGTCCGAACAACTTCTTCAATTCAGCTGGATTCGTGAACTCACGCACGAAGACCTAGGCGTTCTTGGGCGAGTTGAACACATGGCTATCACCTCAGACTCGCATGAGGAGAGTGTCACACAGCTCTGGACCTGAGTGGCCCTTTATGATCCTTTATGTAACTATCCTTCCAGATCACAGAACCGAAGCAGATTTGCGTTTCTCATAATCCAAACGTCCCCAGGAGGCATCCCTCACACCAATGAGGCCATCGTAATTTGGCAAGACTGATCCGCCAATCAGAAGCCGTTGGAAGAGGTCCACGAACATCTTGAAGAATCCTTTCCTCTGTGTCTCATGAAGGCGACCGTGATCTTCGCCTCACCTCGATCTGGTCGGGGGCTTTTTCGACCACCATGGCTCGTTGCACCCGATGCGTTTGGAGGAACGAACGCCTACTCAGCGGAGCCACGAAGCGAGCTGCGTGTCCGTTCCGGGGGGTGCCCTGAAGCGAACTGAACTTGGAACAAGAAGCACTTTCAAGAACTTCTCCAAAGGTTCGTGGTTGTAAAGCAACAAGTCATCCACATATGACATATACCATGACGATTGATGGACAGTGCGATTTCGACGTGACTCCTGCCATGATTGTGGGCTCACTGGGACATGAAACCAATTGGCATTCTCTCGAAGGATGTTATGATACCCCGCTGAAAACCAACATGGACCCTGAAAACCACTGGTTTGTCATGGTTTGTCAAGGAAAACAGTCTCTCAGGGTGCCATTCTCAGGGTCCATGTGAGCTTTCGGGAGTGTGATTCACTTCTTTGCCCGGTCTCCCGGTCTGCACAGGCGGGTGTCCGAAACCTCCGACAGCTGCTGGAGAAGGTGAGCCGCAAGGCCCAAGCGTCTGGCCGTGGAGCGTCGAGCGACGAATTCGTCCACATGGGGCGATCGACACGTCAAGGGTGATTCAAGGTGGGTGTGTTTTGGTCCATGACACTTGAACATGAAACCACAATATGTTTGGTGTGTGTTTTGCAGGTTTTGATTCATACATGAGGGTAGAAGGTCTGGATGAAAGTTGGTAGACTTTGAGGATCGATTCCTGAACTCGTCTGTTCCAAGCGCCAATCTTGGAGCTGAAGAGTAGCCTCAAACATGGCTGCCCAGCTGTTGCTGTCGGTGACTGTTGTGGTCTAATGGGATCTCAGAATCTACACACACTTGGATACATACGCATGTTGTAAGGATCTGCAACATCATGACTCGAGGTTTGTTGTCTTACCATACACTTTATCTTCCAAATCTCCTGTCGCATAGGACCTGACCAAGCGAACACATGAGGCATGGAAAGCCAAAGCGGTGCCATCAGGTCGCGCTCGACCTGGTCCGCAAGAAGAAGTCCGCACCCAATGTGGAGCAGGCAGTATTTGGATGATTTGGATGTTGGCTTCTGACCTAAAGGAATTCCCCCTTCAAAAAAGAAGGATTCTGCACATTATGGCCATGGACATGGGGGATAGAGCCGTAAATGATGCTCGTAAATGTCGATGGACATGGGGTCTGATGTCTCCTGCATGCAAACATCAGCACCCGGGACACAGGGCCCGGCTGTCAGGGCCCGGCTCTCATCAATCTGGAGAATCTCTCCACCTACATTGGACAGCCGCGCGGAACCCGGGACAACTCGACGTCGGAGTGAGAATCGTTCTCTCCCTTCTTAAAACCTTGGAATTGGCCTTCACAAGGGGTGAAACACCGGATGTTCTGGGGTGAAACACCTGATTCTTTTTCAATCCTTTCTATTGACATATTTCAGATGTGTTTTGGCAGTCTAGCTTTTTGACAATTGCTGATGTGATGGACGAATGGGCAAGAGTTTCAGACTTCCTAACCACCCCCCTTGACCAGCTTGAGCTGCAGGTGCTAACTCCAGTGCTTCTAACATGTTTTTCAGCTTCAGGTTGGTTGAGGGTGGAAGAACAATAAGCAAGTGACAAATAGCTTAGACATAAGCGCACAGGTGTTCTAGCTCAACCGGAGGGACAAGATGCCTCAAACCGGAATTGTTTGGCAAGACTTCCTATCCCAGCACTAGAATTTAGGGGTAAGGTCAAGGTGGCATGATTCATGGGTTTCCCACGAGTTAGGGAATAGGAAGGTGATCAACCTGATCAAAATATTTTTCTCAAGTAGTTTGCAGATCTTTGCAGCAGAGTGCTTTTTTGAGTGCTTTTTCTTGCATTCTCCTCTACTCGACATCAAAACATTTGGCTCATTGATGCAGGCAGATAAAATGCCTTGGGTTGTCTTTGGTTCTAGCCGGCAGGGGAAAGAGATTCGAATCAATGGAGGCTCTTGGAACAGACTACAGACGATAGCCAGCACCCAATCCCACGGCCACGGGGGGGCAAGTTTCCGAGTTTCCAAGTTTTCATGCTGGACAAATGAAAACCAACAATCCATGCAAATCAGGGACATTTGACGCAAGACCAGCGCTTATCCGACCGGTTACTGACCGGCCATGGCATGTGCTTCTGGTCGTGTGCGGGGCCTTAGAGACAAAGACGGTCGCAAGTTCTTAGTCATGTACAAATCCTTAGGTGGCTTCCACTTTTCCATGCCTAGAATACGAGAATATGCATATATGCGTTAAACACTTCAGCGACTTCTGATTTCGAGTAGCACCTCTTCAGACAGGGCCTTCCCCACCGAAACAGGTCAGATGGTGGAGCAGACACAAAGCATCAAAAACCTTCTGAGAACACACGGCCTCTGGCTCATAGAGTTGCAGACATGCAGCCATCCACTTCGACCCTTCGCAACCGGCGCTTTCGGCCGCTCTTTGTTTCAGGGCTTTTTCCTTGCTTAGCTGCTTCTGGATTCATGGTCGTGTTGCAACTTCTGTTTACTTTCCGTGCTGCTTTTTGCTGCTTTTTTACACATATATATATGTACACATGTATATTATGTATATAGTTCTTCTTGCCCCACATTTACCCTAGGCCCTTGGCGTTCCTTTGACTGTGGTACTATTCTCTTTTGTAACCTTCTTTTCTGTTTAATTCCTGCGTCCTTTCTTCTGCACTGCCCCAATGGCTTCCTGGTAACAGCGGTCTCAGTTTTCATCTGGAAGTCTCTCCAAAGTTTTAAAGCCAATCAATTCTCTCAGGATCCAAGCTGCGCTTGTTTGTAGTTTATTGACACCTCTGCCTTTGCAACTCTGTGCAAAATTGAACCACCATTGCACCACCCAGCGATCTGCTGCAATGCCCAAGGGCAAGCCCCTAAGAACTAAGAACCACCACTAAGGTCATTGGCATCGTGGTGCTCTTCTTGGTGGATGTGGCATTTGTCGTCTCCCGAACACTCTGGCAGCCTCAGTCTTCGAGCCGCTGGATGAGATTAGGGGTTTTCTCAAGCCGCCGGGAGTGGATGCCCCGCGGGTTGGAGTGGTGTTTGGGGGTTGGAAAGGTGAAGGTAGGGGCGGTAGGGGTAGTAAAAGCTCTTGGTGAATGGACGGGAACCCGCCGACGACTACGTGAGACGATATGAGACGGTCAGGTGCTGAAGTGGATCAGAACACTTGGCGGTTCCACACTCACACAAGGCACTGTCAAGGTTTCCTATACCAATGTTTTGGGTTATATACTGTAGTTGGGGATACACATTGGAATCACCAAAAGCAATCCATTCCCGAAAGCACCTGCAAAGGGTTCTCCGAAAAGACTGGCTGCTGCCAACTTGAACTGTCTATATAACCAGCCTCATCATGATCATCATCATCATCATCATCATCATCATCATCATCATCATCATCATCATCATCAAGGTGTAGAGATGCAGGTGAGATAAAGGTATGTAGCGACCGGTGTTTGGATGCAAGTGTGGAGATACAGGTGTAGATATACAGGTGTTGAGATGCAGGTGTAGAGATACAGGTGAAGACAGCTACAAAACTCACCCACACAACTACAACTTCGGTGTCTTTCGATTCTTCTGTTTAGGTGGCGGGCTGTCTGGCCGATGCTCACGGAATGTGACCTTTTGTGGAGATCGCGCGTGTTGGATGCACGAAACTGTGGCAATGTACGAATCGGCTTGTTTCTGGGACGCCCCTCTTCTTAGTGAACCCTTTGCGGAGGTGGTGTGTGTCGAGTGCTCAAACATGAGGTGACGTGCGGATTTCCGCTCGCGCCGGTGAACCTTCTGCAGAGATTGGGCGTGTCTAGTGCTCAAATGTGAGGCGAAGCGCGAATTCTTGGTGACGTCGGTGAACCCTTTTCGGAGATCGCTCGTGTCGTGTTGCCAAAGTGTGCAACTGTCACCGAAGTTGAAGGTGGATGTATGTGGATGTTGGCAAAGTGTGCAACTGTTTGCCGAAAAGCTTGGTGGAAGTGGCCAAGGTGTGTAAAGTTATCGTCGAAAATTGTTGTGGCTGTGGCCAAAGTGTGCAACTGTCTCGGCAAAAATCATGCCAAACTGTGTTGCTGTCTTCGAAGAATCAAGGTGAAAGTTGCCACAATGTGTTGTAGGTGAAGTGGTGTCGAAATTGAAGATGAAAGTTGCATGTCTAACGGTCGTCGAAAATCGTGGTGGGCGTTGCCAAAGTGTAAAGCCGCTGTCAAGAAATCAAGATCAAAGTTGCCAAAAGTCAGATGGAACATTGAAAATCAAGGTGGAGGTCCAAAGTGTTGAACAGTCGCCGACTCTGGCCTCAGAACTGGCAATTTTGTAATGCGCGAATGTAGTGCGGGCAGCGCTGTTGCCTCAGAACTGGCAACTGGTTTGTGCAAATGTAATACGGGGAGTAGCTTCTGGGAGGTCGCGGTGACAACTGGCAAACTTGTAGTGCCAGAAGTGTCTTCCTTTGGGCTGCATCTAGCGTGTGGCAAACCGTGTGGCGAAAATACGTATTTGGTGTAACTGTGCCATTTGGTTTTGCCCAACCTCGGTGGAAAGTGTGATTGCGTGGCCCCGTGCCATTGGGAATATGCGAGTGTGTATTCGTGGCGTGTCGCTGGTGAGCGGGATGAGTGTTGGTGTCAATCGAACTTGGTGTCACATGGTTGCATCTAGTCACAGTCTGTGGCACATGCTGCGGCGAGATTCCGTCCGTGATGTCAGTGTGCCATGTGGTTTGGCGCGGCCTTGGTGGAAAGTGTGCTCTTGGGCCACACTGTCGTTTACTGTAGTATTTGTTACTCAGCGCCCCACATAGACAAGAACAGCCGATGCCAGTCCTTTTCCAGCAGTATATCCACTTCGGTTCCCTCACGTCAGGCGATGCCATCGTTGACTTGGGCCTTTTAGTGGGACGCCTGCTAGGTTCTTTGATCCTCGCTCTTGCAACTTGGCTCCTGAAGTCAAACATGTCAAGGGGCAAGGGCGGCTTTTGGTTTCAACATAGCTTGTCCGAAGGTGGCCACAGTAGTGATGATGGTTCTGAGGAGAGTGACATGTCAACAATAGAATTCATGCCTCACAATACTAAGGGTCCGACACCAAGAAAGGGCTGGGGGCCCCCATGTACTGGGGGTTTCCACACCAAAATGTTTTGGATATCCTGGATTCGGTCCAACATCAGTGCAGTCGAATTGAGGTCGCTTTGCGCCTGGTTTTGGGTCAATGGCCCTGGCAAAACCAGTCTGACATCAGAGAGGTGACCCGAGATCTCACGCGGCAGCTCTCAGGTGGGGTCGATTTGAGTCTATGACATCGAAACTGGACTCTCCAGACTCTCCAGGTGTTAGTGGGTGGGACACATTTGCTTTCATGGGTAGGTCTTGAGCGGTCGCAGCAGAAACAGTCGTTTTAGCAGAAGTATTTTCGGAGAAAATCACATTTTCGGAGACACACTACTTTTCGACCTTGGTGTCAGAAGATAGCAAAAGTGTTTCTTCCTGGATGTGAAGATTTGGTTGAAGCATTCCAATGGGTGTACTGACGCTGATTGGACCGCTCGCCGCTAGCGTTGGAACCGTGATCTGCCAGTAATCCCCGGGTGACCAAGTGCTGGTATGTGATCCACATGGGATGACCCAAAAGCAATCAGGCGGTATAAGATGGTATATGGAATTCTCCCTTCTGGGCAGGGGGGGTTCTATCTTGAGACTTCGCGAGATACCCAGGTCTAAATGCAGTAGCCTGGGGTATCCAGTGTCGTGAGACCTGGAGCTTCCACCTTTCGGGTCCATGAGTGGCTCCTCGTGGCACGAGCTGCTGGCTTTTGGGTCTCCCACAAACGCCTCAGTTCAAGGGAAGGGTCACCAAATTTTACACCGCCAATGTGGCACCGAAAATCGTGCCTGTTGCGCCAGTTGGTTTCGTGGTTTCGGCACGAAAAGAGGGAACCTTCAGACGCCAGGCGGCATGCCCATGGCTTGCACCATGCCCACAGGTGACCGTCGAGAGACTCCTTTATTGGAGCGTGGCACCAACGCTTCCCGGGACGCACCGGCGGCGACGGCCAGCATGACGAGCGCCACTCGGAAAGGGTGAGACGCAAGGGGTCACTGGGGGTTTACTTGGCCCAGAATTTGAGGAGGTACTTGGGCACACCTTTAAATACTTTAGAATGCAAGTTGCTTGAGATTGTAAGTGGCAGCTGCGTGAGGGAGTCTTTCCTGAAAACTTGCGATGGTCAGAGTGTGGTCACAGCTTTCAAT